CCTACTTCAACACGAGATCATCAAGATCAGTTGAAAACCATGTGTTTAGCCCACAATGACAATCGAAGAACATTAGAGCAGCTCCTGTTGTCACTGGCGAAAAACATTCGCCATTCCAAGTGAATTTCAAGTTAATCAATCTAACAATGAACTCATTAAACTGAGTGAACTGATTATATATTTTATACATATAACTTCTTAACTATATTAATACATTATATATACACTCTCAGCTTGTGTTTGTTCATCTTTTGTGATGCGTGTGGGGATTTGCCCTATTGGTTACAAAACAGATGTTGGGAAATGTCAAGATGGGGAATTGTCCTAGTGGGGATTTGTCCTGATGTGGAATGTCCGTACACCGGTAGGTAAATAGACCGTCCGTCTGTCTCTTATCCGTGGAGATCCGGAACAGAATAGGTTTTGAGTAGCCCACGCTTGTATCGTGAGAGACGACTAACAGGATTGCTCGGTCAGGTTCTGAAAGTCTGTTTGAAAGGGGTATGGTAGCCTTGCTACAAGGCTGTACTGAATGCTAAGCCCATGGATGAATAGTAATTCTATCCTTTAAAGAGGACAATCTAGATAAGGGGACAGTACAATCTAAGGACGCCAGTCTGTTATTTATATTTTTTTTAAATTATCATTTAAACTATAATCATTACCTTACAGACTTGTGCAAGTCTAGGGTACAAGCATCTGTAATTTAACTTCACATAGAAAGACGAAATAAATTGAACTTTGATCCCGTCTCCATTAATACTAAATCTATTAATGTAGTTGATCATATCGAAGTTATATGAATATGTTATTGACGGTAAATCCCGTTTCGGACCAACGCCATAGTGAGACCATTTGCTCTTTCTTTCGATCACTGGTTTGTCTCATCCACACTCGACTGTAGTAGACATGCCGTCGTCATAGCCGAAATACTGCTGACTGGGATGTATAACAACAAACCAAAATAGACCATTCAAGTTTTGTGTATTTGGGATATGTTATACAATAACTTAAGTTAAGTGTAAAGTTCCTTTATATCATATATCAAACACGTTTACCGTGAAAATTATCGTTCAGGAACTGTAAGAGTCTAAATGGACGTTCGAGTGGAGTGGTGTGTTCGACACCCTTTGTGTTTGTCCGTCTCCCACACCCAAAAGAATATACTGAAAAGTAATCCAACGCTCAAGCCCAGAGTGAGTGAGTGGATTAATTTTAAGCCACTTTTAGCAATATTTCAGCAATATCACGGCGGGGGACACCAGATATGGGTTTCACACATTGTACCCATATGGGGAATCAGAACCCATGGTGGTATTAGGCATGAACAGCGAACGCTTTAACCACTAGGCTACCCCACCGCCCCCAAGCCTTGATTGACTTGACAAAGTTAGATTGCCTCAGCCTGAAATTAAAATATTTTCTGGTCTCCTTTATATTTTGTTGATTTTTAAATAGGTTAACCTAATTTCTGGACCGACATGACATTCTACCTTCATGAGTGCACTGCATGAAGTTCCCTTCTAGTGTCACAGCAGTGGTAGGCTAACGCTTGGTCTCTGAATATATATAATTTTGACAGTAAGAAATAATCCCATTTAAATTGAAAAGGAGTCCCAGTGAGATGGGAGATGAACCTGAGCAAATGTAGACTTGCTTCATTTAGGTCTTAAACATTGCAGGGAACGAGGGCTCGACAGTAAGAACAAAAATGCGGCACGGGTACTGTGAGGCAGACTACATCAGTGGTATATATTGCGGTAGAGTAAATAGTAGTCTCCGAAATGAACATAATTTACAGAAAGAAAAATTTATAGTAAAAAAAATTTGAATATAATGAAAAGGAGCCCTGAAGCTGTGGAAATCTAGACTTGCCACATTTTCTAAACTTGCGCTTTCTTGGATGTATTTGCTTCAGGGTCTGTATGACAGACTAGTATTGCCGGGATATTACTAAAAGCGGCGTATAACTTTCCTCACTCGCTCATTGAATCTAAACGTTTCGCAAGAAGTTACGAACGAAGATATCTGTCCAGGTTCGTTGAGACTGGAATGTTTAACAAGCTCTTCTGTTAATGTAAATGAGTCACACAAGCCGAGATGATCTCTAACGAAGTAAACATGGCTTATTTACAAGTGTAAACTCGGGAAGACTGGGCTCCGGTTGCCGGGACACGTCTTATCTGTGGAAGGAATGTAGTTCCGACACAAACAACGTGTAAAACGGCCAACGTGACCCCGGGGTCATTTACAGACGCTCAACCATGTCACGTGACACCTCGGTCTTTTCTTGGCCCAATGTCTTGTCACATGACCCCTGGGTCATCTCCCGACGCCCGCCGTGTCAGAGACAGGAAGCGGAGGACTTTAGCCCGGTGAAACGCCCTTGACATTCATGAGATATAAGTAGGTTTATCTACCTACGCCCTGTGACGTCAGAAGTTGCCACATCCCAGTGATTTCAAAAGAATTACGAAGTTTGTCGGGCAATATGATATTTGCCAACACGTCTATGTATGATTGATGAATCATTTTATAGAGATGACAAAAACTTCACGGAAGATCAACTTCTATATTTTCACGATAGCGACGTTTCGGTGTAGATTCTTATACCATTTTCAAGCATGAGTATAAGAATCTATACCGAAACGTCGGTATTGTGAAAATAAAGAAGTTGATCATCCACAAAGTTTTGCCATCTCTAAACACCAACTTCTGGAATGCCACTCAAACAAATGAATCATTTTATAGTTATTGGATTTATATAATCAGGTAATATTTTCAAAACTCAACATTGAGAACATGTTAATACGAGTACATGTATGTATAACACGGGTCATTAACCTTAATATTTGGCTTAAAAAATAAATTATAATTAAATTATGTAGCAGGGCTCCAGATAAATTTTCAACATCAGGAGTACCTGCTCCATATTTTTTCAATATAGGTGTACTGAAAAACTTAGAGTACATTTAGAGTACTGAATGGAAATTAATGGAGATTCAGTAATCGTGTGTTTCGTTTCATAGATGCACCTCAACATTGCTACTCTTGTGTAAACAGGTCAATAAACAATAAAACAATTCTTTTTCAGATACAATGTACATACATCTGTAAATGATTCTAAGACCGTACACCATTGCTGTGGTGCGTATCTGCTACGTTTTCTAAATTATTCCTACCGTATCATGCATACTTTTTATCCGTACATACGCCGATACGGCCTTTATCTGGAGCGCTGAATGTAGCATATTGTGTTCATTCAGTATTGTGTAATAAATTATCTCTAGGCATACACAGTTTTGCTGTCAAGCAGTTTTGCTGCGGCCATATACGTTCAGTGCCATCATCGGTCATCCAGGGTATAATGTTATCATAAATACCCTCGACCCATGCGCTTCGAATGTAACGTCATTCTCTCAATTCGTCTTATTGTCAGTTTTTTATCTTGTGTCGTTAATTGTTAGTGTATTATGTAATTCTCCTTGATCTAGTTTTAGCAAATATGTGATGACCTAGTGATTTTATTGTCCTTCGTTGACAGGGTTTTATAAATTATATGTATGTTCTTTCAAATTTAGAACTAATTTATAGTCACGATACGTCTGAAAAATTGCCGATATGACCATAAATTTTAAGTAACTCGCTCACTCTCAATTCGTCTATCACAGCATTTATCTCGCTCATGAGATTTACAGGATTGAAAATCTATATTTAGTTTAATCTCGGGTAAAAAAGAAGCAATTGTACTGAATAAGTACCCGTGAAGGTCCGGGTTAGAATGAACCTTCAGTAACCCATGCTTGTCGAAAGAGGCGACTAACGGGATCGGGTGGTCAGGCTCGCTGGCTTGGTTAACACAAGTCATCGGTTCCCAATTGTGCAGATCGATGCTCACTGGATTGGATTGGTCCAGGCTCGATTATTTACAGACAGCCGCCATAAAGCTGGAATATTGCTGAGTGCGGCGTAAAACTAAACTCGCCTACTCACTGAATAAGTATTTACCATAATAGAATTGAGACAAATATCCCGAATAATCGAACATCTTAAGTGGAACCGTCAAAAATTGACTGTACACTTTCTAACATGCTAATGTACCCTTCTTCGCCACTGCAACTGACATTACACTTTTGTTATGCAGTTTCTTTTGACGGTCTAGTTACCTACGGGGCTTTGCACATTGTTCTCATGAGACGAATCAAACCTGACTCTTAAGCATGATAATCGAACACTTGAACTGCCAGGCTACCCCGCCGCCCCTCAGTTACAACTGTGCCATAGGCCGTGTCGAGGGTTTCTAGGGTTTCAAGACCCCATGCATGGGCGATGATATTTATCACGCATTTTACGCAACGTAGGGAGCGGTAGGCAGAGAGGGGGAGAATAGAGGGTTATGAACATTCTGACACACAGAAGATAAAACTGAAGAGCATATATATTCGAACTCAACTTATGCATGCAGAATCTAAATTCGGTATTGTGACAAATCCCCAGTGTTAAATACGCATAGATGTTGACGATAATTCCCAATCCAGACCCCCGCACCCAAAACACACACACACACTCACTCACTCACTCTCACATTATAATAATGACTTAAATGAAATGAACTTGTAGTTACATGAAATCACTCTTTTGCACTCTACAAAGATCATTTTTGCTCATTTTTTACACAAATTTAGTAACTTCTTCAAGCATCGCGTTGGTATAAGTTTTTCAGTTTTTAGCATTGTTCCGATGAAGTCTCGCATAAGGCAGCATAGTCAAAGGGGGATAACTCTGATATATGCACAAGGATGTCGCTACCAGCTGGATGTTTCACAGGTAACCGTTAGAAACATCCATAATACATAGACGTGTATAAAACATATCTAATAACATATATATCCAAAAACAATGACACTTGTTTCTGTATTTCTATTTACCGAACTTTCGTCAACACTCGCCTCTTTCCGTAATCACTACAGCCTAGTTTCGCTTTCGGTTTGTCAAGTCAGGTGAGGTTATATCATATCAAAAGCGAAAATAGTTTCAAAGAATGGGCCAAACCCAGGCTAACAGAAATCACATCTAGTTATGTGAGGCACAACAGAATTGTGGTAAGTATAATGACCCAATAATATCTCATATTTTGATGAACATATTACCACGTATCTTGCATAGCCTGTGTACAACGAAGTTCTCTGCCGAGTCCTAGGCTGCGATCAACAACAGAGTATGCCAACCAATTCCAAAAGTCAAACATAATTGTGTGTGTGTGTGTGTGTGTGTGTGGAAGGGTGGAGTGGAAGTGGTGTAGAAGCTAGTACTAATGTACAATGTGAATGGTCTCTAATATAATGTACTTTTTTTAGTATCATACACCTCGCGTTGGTATAAGTTTTACAGTTTTTAGCATTTGTTCCGATGAAGTCTCGCATGAGGCAACATAGTCAAAGGGGGATAACTCTGATATATGCACAAGGATGTAGCTACCAGCTGGATGTTTCACAGGTTAGCGTTAGAAACATCCATAATACATAGACGTGTATAAAACAGATTTAATAACATATATATCCAAAAACAATGACAATTGTTTCTGTATTCTATTTACCGAACTTTCGTCAACACTCGCCTCTTTCCGTAATCACTACAACCTACTTTCACTTTCGGTTTGACAAGTCAAGTGAGGTTATATCATAACAAAAGTGAAAATAGTTTCAGAGAATGGGCCAAACCCAGGCTAACAGAAATCACATCTAGTTATGTGAGGCACAACAAAATTGTGGTAAGTATAATGACCCAACAATATCTCATATTTTGATGAATATATTGTCACCTATCTATCTTACATAGCCAACAACGAATTTCTCTGCAAAGTCCTAGGCTAATGCGATCAACAACAGTGTGTACGTACAAGTTTCAAAGTCAAACAGATTTGTTCGCCATATTTATGTAAGCTATGGTAATATCTTGCATCATATAGGAAATGCCAGTTGTTTACGGAAGTGATATCAAGAGGCTAGGTTGCGCGCGCAACCGGTAGGCAGAAGGCAACAATGGCCACCGACAACAATGCGAATCGCTGTAGCATGGAAGTTAAACAATGGTCAGATTATGTGCTGAAGTTATCTGTTGAAGACCGCGAGAGGTATATTTCAAAGCTGACATCTGGTGAGGGTACACGTAGTTTGCCAGACCCCTATTGTTTGGCGAGTGGTTGGGTTGATCTAATTGCCTTTGTGGCGCCGCCATAACATTTACGGACATATATTTCTATCTTGTGGATGTTTTGGTGACAATTCACTCCACGACAGTTTGAGGGCGCATAAATCCTTAAAAGCCGCATTTACGACTTCGTGGAAAGTGGACATGTTTACCCTATCTTTACAATGCAATTGACGACCAGTCACCTTACTGCTTTTTGAAGATCTAAGGTGATTCCATCCCAGCCTTCGCGGACAAAACCACATCAGCCATGGGTTTGTGTCAAGAAATCTGAGGGGACAGTGTTTTGTGCCCACTGCACGTGTATGGCTGGGTAAGTTGTTTTTTTTTATTGTATGTAGTTGCCTATAATTTTCAACAGTTTTACCCAAATAACAGTGTATTTTTAGGATTGAAATATCTCAGATCTAAATTAAAGGATCCATATGTAATGGTTGGATTTTTGTAACAGATTCTATTTTTCATTGTTCCTTTTGAATTCTCATATCCATATCATTGCTTCAATACTTTTTAATATTATATAAAATTTTACAATTTCATCTGTATGGTTCAAAAGGTGTTTTTCACGCTTTTAAGTGTACAGCTACTTCTCAGTTTATATAATTTTTAATATAATAAAACGATATTGTTTGGATATTTCAGACTGGAGAGGTATGCAGTCATGTGGCAGCCCTACTGTTCAAGGTTGATGCAGCTGTGAGGGCAGGATTGACCGCAAAAGCTTGCACCAGTGAAGCGTGCAAGTGGAATGCTGCTTACAGAAAGAAGTAATGCTCTCACTTTTCATATAAAATAATATACTTATTTAGCTTACTGTTCAGCATCATGTACTTTACATATGAAAACCATAGAAAATGGGGACTTACATTCATTATCAATTAGTGTTATATTTATATTGGCAATGAGGTGGCATAATGGTTGAAGTGTCTGCCTAAAACCACACACAGTTGCTCACTCTTACCTCATTATTTCAGCTCCAGCCAACCCCACTGTGTGAGGTTCAGCATCTGTTTGGATCGTCGTCCGGAAGGCAAACACTCCATCTGTGTCAGGAACTGGAAAAGCTCCACTTCCTGATATTGAAACACTGAAGTCGCTGGAAAGTGTATGCCCTAATGCTGTCTTTTTTTTAAGTGTATTCCTCCACTAGATGAAGAGGAAACTGACAGTGCTGAAGAAGATGGCGAGACACATTTGTTCCCCCCAACAATTACAAGTCTTGTGTGTGAGGACAGAATCACTGATGAAAATCTCGAGTCTGTTTGTGAGGAGCAGTGGAACTCTTATCAGTGTGAACCGGCACAGATTAGCAACTTGGAGGAAGTTACCAAGAACCAAGCTATTAGCCCTCTTTGGTTTGAACACTCAGAAAGGAAGAATAACCGAACCAAAGCCCATGATATCTTGGTGATGAAGAAGACCACAGATCCAAAGAACACCATCATGAAGGTAATGGGCTATAACACAAAGGACATCTCCAAGAAAGCTGCAGTTGCCTGGGGCAGTGACAATGAGGCCAGAGCACGTAAACAGTATGCGAAACATCAGACAACACAGCATGCTCAGTTTATGCGGTAGAACAGTGGGGTTACTGATAAGTTTGTAAAACCTTACATGGCAGCATCAAGTGATGGCACTGTTATGTGCAAGTGTTGTGGTAATGGATGCTTAGAGATAAAGTGTCCATACAAGCACAGGGACCATGACATATCCACAGCAGTAAATGATAAGACCTTTTGCCTGGACAAGGACTTACACCTCAAGAAAGGGCACAAATATTACTCACAAGTGCAGCTTCAAATGTATGTGCATGATGTGAACTACTGTGACTTTGTCATTTTACAAATAAGGACATGACAATAGTCCCGTGTGCCCAGGGATGATGAGTTTTGTTCAATTCTCATAGCAAAGTGTGACACATTTTTCTTTAAACACATTTTGCCGAAATTGTTTCAAGGAAACTTGAAAATGCAAAGCCTTGTTTGAGCCGATGTTGTTACAGACACTGGTAATTCAGATATATGGTGCCTATGCCAGCAAGAGGAGTATGGTCGATGATCATGTGTGAGGGAGCCAATTGTTCGTACACTTGGTTCCATTATAAATGTGTCAACATTAGAAGGAAACCAAAGGGTTCTTGGTACTGTCCAAGTTGTATCATGGGATAAAGTTTCATACATGTTCCCAAAGAAATCCCTTCTGGCCAGAACATAAGAAATTTGTTCAAGTATGTGTAAGTGCAGCTATGATTATGTAACCTCTTAGCAAAATTTTCACCATTAACATGGCCAAACTAAAATTTCATTTAAAGGTTAACTGTCAAATGGCTGACATGTGTTGGATTAGCAGACATGTCTTTACAATGGTACTATGTTACAAATATGTCAAGTGTATATGCATGTACACTATAAATGTCCCTCTACTGACCATGCGAAGTCATTAATTGATTGTGGAGACATGCCATCTCGACACACACACATTCTGTCATGTAAAAACCATGCCAGAGGGAAAAACTGATTTATGTATCTTCATATCATTTTGTTATTATATTTGTAATGTTTAATTCAATTGTGTTATCAATCACAAAACACTCAGATGATGTCAAAGAAAATTGTATTGACAATCATATTCTTTTTGTATATTTCAAACATGTCAGCACAAAATGTAATGTTTTCAGTAGACTTCTACATGTCAATCTTCTGTAGGAAGAAACATCACAGTATCAATCACAAAACATTCAGATGTTGTGAAGCAAATTGTATTGGCAATCATAGTCTTTTTGTATATATTTCAACATTTCAACACAAAATGTATTGTTTTCAGTAGACTTCTACATGTCAATCTTCAGTAGGAAGATGTATGACAGTACTATTAAATAACATGTGTTCATTTCACAAGATGCATTTGACAAATGCAATGTTTTTATGTGTCAAACATGCTTGATCTCTGTACATAAAATGAAGACTATTTCAAATGGGGAAGAATACACACTATATTTGCCATTTAATCCTGTGTTTGTTGTTAATTTAAACATTTGAAAAACAATTACTGAAATCAATATGTTACCAAATATCTCATTTAAAATCTTAAACTAAATCAGAATAGTTATCAGGAACATTGGGCCTTATTTGTTTACTGACTGGCTTACAAATTACATTCCAATTGCTCATAGTCATGTAAACCAACACAATAAGTATTTATGAACAAGATTACACTACAGCAAATTTTGATGAAGATTTGACAGAGCACTGCATACAGTCATAATATTGTCAAAATGAGGCACAAGGTTGATCTTCAGGGTGGTGCTCAGAATCTTGAAGTTTTTACTCTTTCTATAGCCCTCTCAACATGTATTCTGGCCCGTGACAGCCTCCTTCCACTTCGATTTCTTTAGGGCTGAGCTGAGATTTCCCCGTGTAAATGCTGGTATGGCAAGCTGCGCACCACATGCAGCAAGGTCATCCAAATAAGGAACCCGCGATCAGCAAGGATCAGATCCCCATGTTCCAGAAGCTGAAGGAATCCTGAGCTGTGTGATGACTTTGTCCGAACCCTTCCACCAAAGGCTCTCGACACAAAGGTGACAGCTCCATGGGGTGCAATTCCTAACAGAAACTTTATAGTGTTATGGCTTTTATAGTTGGACCATGTCATAGCTCGTGCAGTGAAATTGCCAGGCCTCTCAATAAATATTTCCGCGAACAGTCTATAATGACCCTGCACTTTCTGTAAGATTGTTTGATCACTTTGGGCATATTTCTTAATATATCGTCACTTTCAGGCCAATGTATCAGGAATGATAATTTGTGGGCAAGTGGTGGAATGGTCTTACTGATTAAATCATTCACAGTTTGTCTTGACACTCCAAATCTGTAGGCCAAGTCCTGGTCTACTAGATTCAAACGTAGCTTCATCAGCACCAACATGAGCACACTGGCAGGAGTTAGAGTCATCGAGACAGGAAGTATATGTGCACAGAACTGAACTAACCACAAGAAGCTGGCATGACTAGAGATACCTGTGAAAAACAATGTCTTTCCATCCTTCTTGTCTCCTTCCAAAAATCGGTCACTGAACCTACAAGCTCTGAGCTGATGTCTTGTATCCTGTAATTCAGCTTGTAGGTTTTCTACCTCTGTGAGCAGCTGTCTCTTTTCGGCTTTCAGTTTCATGATCACTTCAATGCAGGGGTCATGTAAGTCTAGAAAACAAATTGAATTATTAAATGACTATTTACCGGCCAACCTGAGAAAATACAAACTATGTGAAAGGAGGATGTATGATGAGGGTCCCTTTTGTTAACTTCTTTTCATGTTTGATAACATAGTGGAAAAATACCTATGAAATAATTAGTGAACATTCAAGTTGATAATAAACAACATAATATTTTTGATCATCATTCCAGGTTTCCTTATGGAAAATACTACATTAAGAACTAAAATATGGCTTCCTATATAAATATTTCCATTCATGAAATAGAACTTTCAGATACCTCGTGCAGGCTGATTTTCTTCTTCTTCAACACCTTGTTCACTCTGCTCATTGAGGGAAGAATTGAGTGACAACTCAAGTAGAATTGAGGCAGCATTACTTCTTTCTTGGCTATCCTTGGCTTGTTTGTTCTTGGTATCTTCTCTAATCTGTGCCCTGTGAAAACGATCTTTCCTCGCTTCAGGTGTCATCATGGATGCAGTCTTATATCCCATGTTGACATGTGGAACATAGTCTGGATCACTTGGGTCACTTCTAGCAGATCCTGGAAATAAATTCAAAATCTTAACTGCAAATCACACATTTATATAAAAGAGAAAAATAATGTGAGGATCTTACCTAGATTTCCAAAAATATAGCTTATTTGGCATAACGCTTATCAAAATAAAAAGATATTCTGATCGAAAACTGGACAGTTCTATCAAACCAACATTATTACATTTGATATGTTAGAAAAAATAAAAACATGTTTTAAAATAAATATTAAAACGTGACTATCGTGATATCATTGTTGGGTTCCCCATTATCTTGTTGATGGTTCACAGTACATACTGATATATGAAGCCATAACCCATTTGCCACAACGTATCATCTACAGAATCACAAGACGATGACAATGAAACAATGAAAATTATGGGTTGTTGGCCAAAGAAATGTAAATATTCAAACCTGATGCAAAGTGAACTCCACAAACTCGATCACCATCATGATCAGGCGGCCCAATTCTTGCGGTTGATCGCTTGAAGCCACTTGCGTCTTCTTTCATCGGCAGTCGGAATTCGATGAAATTTCAAGCCTGAACCTTTTTGAAATCTATTCGTGCAACCAACTACCACGCACGACACAACCATGTTACTTAGATTCCAATGTAAGTGATAAATTATGCAGGAGAAATGGATCTTATTCGTATAATGCTAGAACGTCTTCTCGCTAATGCGTTGTCTGCTGTTGTGTTGACACTTTTCTGCCTACCGGAAGTTAGGGTAGGCCACGTGATCAAAACAATGAGGTCACGCTGGCATTTCCTATACCTTATAATGTATCGTATCCTCATAATGCAACATATACCTCATAATGTTATAACACACGTTTGTATGTGCAATAGAAACTACATTGATAGGATCTTATCAAAGGGATTTAATAACCAAGTCCCACTGGCTGATATGAAATATATTTTGAACTTGAATGGACACCAGCCCTTATGGTAAGAAGTTGGAGTTACTTCCCTTGATTGTGTCATCTGCCTTACTAGATTTCAGTCTCTTACAAACAAGGTTAAAATGAACTGCCATCAGATGCAAATAGATATTTTTTAAATTTTTATGGAATATGATAAAAACATTATTGTATGTCAGTTTTCATACTATACACCGTGTCATCCTTCAATGCCCATATCAGCTGCCTTCAGTGCTGTGATGGGTTGATAGGGGGTATGATATGAAGCCTACCATGTGATAACCTCAGACTGTATCACACCTTGATCCTTTACCCACCATATGAACCACCTTCAGTACAGGGGATGACATGGGTGTGATGGGTTGATATGGGGTATGATATAAAGCCTACCATGTGATAACCTCAGACTGTATCATACCTTGATCCTTTACCCACCATATGAACCACCTTCAGTACAGGGGATGATATGGGTGTGATGGGTTGATAGGGGGTATGATATGAAGCCTACCATGTGATAACCTCAGACTGTATCACACCTTGATCCTTTACCCACCATATGAACCACCTTCAGTACAGGGGATGACATGGGTGTGATGGGTTGATATGGGGTATGATATAAAGCCTACCATGTGATAACCTCAGACTGTATCATACCTTGATCCTTTACCCACCATATGAACCACCTTCAGTACAGGGGATGATATGGGTGTGGTGGGTTGATATGGGGTATGATATGAAGCCTACCATGTGATAACCTCAGACTGTATCACACCTTGATCCTTTACCCACCATATGAACCACCTTCAGTACAGGGGATGACATGGGTGTGGTGGGTTGATATGGGGTATGATATAAAGCCTACCATGTGATAACCTCAGACTGTATCACACCTTGATCCTTTACCCACCATATGAACCACCTTCAGTACAGGGGATGATATGGGTGTGGTGGGATGATATGGGGTATGATATGAAGCCTACCATGTGATAACCTCAGACTGTATCACACCTTGATCCTTTACCCACCATATGAACCACCTTCAGTACAGGGGATGATATGGGTGTGGTGGGTTGATATGGGGTATGATATAAAGCCTACCATGTGATAACCTCAGACTGTATCACACCTTGATCCTTTACCCACCATATGAACCACCTTCAGTGCAGGGGATGACATGGGTGTGGTGGGTTGATGTGGGGTATGATATAAAGCCTACCATGTGATAACCTCAGACTGTATCACACCTTGATCCTTTACCCACCATATGAACCACCTTCAGTGCAGGGGATGACATGGGTGTGGTGGGTTGATGTGGGGTATGAATCTATGATATGAAACCTGTCATATGATAAAGGGTTGTATCATTTTCAGGATGTTTTTGGTAGATCTCTTATGTAGATTTCCTAGTTTTGAAATGTTGGGAATGAACTTCAGGGGTTTTCCATTTTCGCTGTGTGTGAAAGTGAAATATTACTTTGATAGTAAAGCTGAAGGGGTTGTTGTGCAGGGGTACTACAGATGTGTATCCCAGGTATGTTCTGTGTACAGAAACACACCCTAGCCAGAATCAGAATACAGAACGTACCTTAGACCCTGAAATAAATATATCCAAGAAAGCCCATGCAAGTCTAGATTATGTGACAAGTCAAGATTTCTGAAAATGAAGAAAGTCTCAGGGTTCCTTTTCATTATATTTCATTTTAAACTTTTTATCTGTAAAGTATGTTCATTTCAGAGACTAGTTGTTAGGTGCGGTGAGGTGAAATTGGGTTTAACGTCGTGCTTGAGAATATTTGCTTATATGACGACGTGCATGTGTGTGTATGTGTAGGTGCGGCTGCTTGTACTAGCCCAGACTTTAGCTGGTTTTACCAGACTTTACCATATTTTAACGTCTTTTGGTATGACGCGGTCGGGGATCGATTCCGCGACCTTCCGCTCTCCGGGCGGACGCTCTAACCACTACACCACGGAGGCGGTCACTGAGAAATAAGCATATGCAGGAAAGAATATTTTGTGATGCACAATACCACTCGCAGTTAGTTGAGTGAGTGAGTTTAGTTTTACGCCGCTTTTAGCAATATTCCAGCAATATCACAGCGGGGGACACCAGAAATGGGCTTAACACATTGTACCCACGTGGGGAATCGAACCCGGGTCTTCGGTGTGACGAGCGAATGCTTTAACCACTAGGCTACCCCACCGCCCCGCAATTAGTTGAACAGGAACAACTACATACTGTTTCGGTTTTGAGTTGTGGAATATGGACTCATCCCCTGTTTAGGGTTCTAGGGTACGTTTCTGTATTTTGACTTTGTTGAGGTACCTGGGGTACATATCTTTTGTACCTTTGCCACCAACAACCCTTTCAAAAGTAAACACTTTAATATGAACAAGTCAGTGGGTCTTCACTGATACAACAGCTGCTACCTGCCACTGAAGGATATTTAGTTTAATAGTTTGTGTGGCTGTGGAGTTCAGTTGAGGTTTGTGTGCACAACTTCAATTTGGTGGGTCGACTTACAAGTCCAACAAGGCAGTATATGTGTATTTCAAACGTAAGGAGGTTTATAAAGATATGTTATTTGTGGGGCATGCAGTTGTACAAGGTACAAGGTGCAACAGTTTGGTTTGCAGAATTGCTTCCCTTGAGCCCATCAGACACCAAGGTTTGTGAGAGCTAGAATATTGCCAAATGCAGAGTAAAACTATACTCACTCACTCACTCTCTTACTCACAACATTTGAACTTCTAAGTGTGTTTTTCTCATTTATGTACACATAGACAAAAGTATCGCAACACCCCATATTTGCTATTGTATCAATCTGTTACCATTTACCATAGCAAAGGAACTTATCCAAACCCCATTTGAACTTACCGTCTGGATGCATTTATCCTCAAGGAATAAATGATGAAATGGCAGGCGCGTGGCAAGATAATTTTTTCATGTAAACCCGATAGGGTGCAATTTTTTTTATTTAGATAGTATTGAGGGCTTCCCCAACCTTTTTAGCAACAATCATGTGTAAGCCTGGGTGGTTTTTTTTATAATGGTACCTACGGCCCTGAACGGCAAATCTAAATGAAAAAAAGATCAGTCATGTGGGCCCTTCCCCATGACCTGAAATTAAACTGACATCAAGCTTGACACCAAGCTAGTCATGCTGCTTTGTGCTCTGGAGATAATAACAGGTGCCTCCTGTCTCGCTCTATGCACTTATTGCATGTATTGTAAGTGATGCCTTTGATTGTAGCATGTTGAAATCTAAAATCAAAGTATGGTGTGCTTGATGGGTAAAAATAATCATCCAAATAAATATGGGGATTAAAAACCATACAGTCCGTTTGTTACAAAATGATACAGATGAATTGCAATCTAACACAAAAACAAATAGACATAAAAGAATCAAACCAACTCGGACGGCAATAAAAACAACAGACCAACTCTAGAAAACAACTGCATCATTTTTGTCACAAAAATAAAAAAGTTGTTTAAGAAACTGTCATTATTTATTTGTGCGTTTTCCAAGTTTGTTACAAGGGCACATTGGCAACTAAAGGAACACCACGACTCATGTAATTAGATGCTTTCCGTTTGACACCATGACTCATGCATGTGACACCATGACTCATGCAAACCACGCTTACACCGACGATGGTACTTCACTTAATTTCTGACTATGTCCCTTAGTCACAAGGGGCGGTGGGATGGCCTAGTGGTTAAAGCGTTCGCTCGTCACGCCGATGACCCGGGTTCGATTCCCTACATTGGTACAATGTGTGAAGCCCATTTCTAGTGTCCCCAGCCGTGATATTGCTGGAATATTGCTAAAAGCAGCATAAAACCATACTCACTCACTCACTTAGTCACAATGAAAACAAAAAGAAAATAACAACCAGTAGACTGTTTCGGACTACTTACATGTCACATTTACGTTGCTTGAAACAACAAAAGTTTCCTTCCATAATCCCGCGTACTCATGTCAGTGAACAGGCCATTTGGAAAAAGTCGCTTCCTTATAGTGATATCATACGGACGTCAACATTGTTATACATACTTGGTATTTTCATTGAGGTGAGGTTATGAATGAAAATACACATGATCAATCTGTCCTGCTGCTTACATTATCTGTTCTTATGCTTTTTTCATATTTTCACAAACTTTTTCACAGGATTATTTTCAGTATTAATATCTTTTGATTTGGGACTAGACAGGAGACCAGTCTAAAATCAAGTGGCACCAATTACGTCATAATCAAAGGGCGGTAACTCTGGCCTGTTTAGCTCGGCAGACAAAGGCCTCATAATGGCATAACATTTTAGCACTTATTTTGAGGGTTATACTTTCATTGTAAGAAAAATGAGTGTATATTTTCAAATATTGATATTAACTAATTAAAAAAATTCACTTTGATTCACATAAGAATAAATGTGATTATTCATGTACACTTCCCCATTAACCTTTATATTTCCCAAGTTTTCATTGCTGAATTCATGTTCATGTTCTGTTTTTGAATCATGCCATCTCATTTTAATTAAATCGATGTACAATGTTATGGGGGTTTATTGATGACTGTTTATATTTACTCATAACTAATGTATTGAAAACATCAAATACATGAATCCCTATCATAAGTTTTAATAATTAATGAATATTTTGTTCAAAATTCATATTATCTCCTCATCACATGAGGTATTTTATCAGATTTAACCTGAGTGAGTGAGTTTAGTTTTGCGCAGTGTTTAGCAATATTTCAGCAATATCACTGCATGGGGACTTCAGAATTGGGCTTCACACATTGTGAGCATGTGGGGAATCAAATCCAGGCCTTTGGCTTGATGAGTGAGTGCTTTTACCACTAGGCGACCCCACCTTCCAGGGATTTAACCTGATAATGCTGTCATGTATTTTCTTTTCAGCTTTAAAGGAGAAAACAACTGAATCACTATGAGTGCCTCTGAACCAACTGGCACATCAGAAAGCTCTATACCACATGGACATGGTCGAGGCCAGCTATATCCTAACCTGCATAATCCCCCGATGCCACAACCGAGCCCTCAATATCGTCCTCATGGTGGACAACATCCAGAATCAGGGGAAGACTTTGGACTGCATGGATCTGGTAGAGGTCAAGTGTATTCAAATAAATTGCAGAATTACCCTTACAAGATCGACTATCCAGTCCCTGTCCATTCTCCTGGTGTACAACATCAGTGTTACCATTGCAACAGTTCTACTCACAGTCATCCTGGTGGTAACACACATTTGCAACACCATGATATGCAGTCTTCATACAGCCAGCCAAGACCAACTGTTCCCTGTCAACATTACCCACCCACCTTTACCCACACTCACAACCAGGGTATCAGAAATCCTGCTGTCTGCTACCAACCCTACCCACAGCCTTCTCAGCCTCCGCAAGCTCAACAGCCTTGGCTATACCCTCCATATACATGGCCAAGGGACACTATGCAAAACCAAGTGATGTTTAGAGCTCCTCAAAATCATCATGGACAAGCATCAGTGCAAGGCCATTATGGCTTTCAGAGTCCAGAGACAGGGGCCACTCCTTACAATGGCGGCCAATTCCCACTCAGGATGATGACCTCAGCTGAGCAAAATGTATCACATGGATGCATATCAGGACAAAGCCAGGACAAACTGAGGACTCAGCAAGGTATTCTGGATTCCGGTAGTACTAAGGCAGAACCTATTCTGATTGACCAGCCAAATCCAGACTCAATGACTCCTATGTTAAATCCACAACCTTCTTGTCCTGAAGGATCAACTGTCAGGAAGGAAAGCAGGAATGACTATACAGGAGATCTTGTAGACTGTTTTGAAAAGCTAGGGATTGATCCACATGTCAAAGATAACAGGACCACGGCACACGGAAAACAGACTTTCACAGTAGGTTCAGCAGAGATAGAATCCCATGAGAAAAGACAGACAGAATCCCATGAGGAAAGACAGAAAGAATCCCATGAGGAAAGACAGAAAGAATCCCATGAGGAAAGACAGAAAGATTCCCATGAGGAAAGACAGAAAGATTCCCACGAGGAAAGACAGAAAGAATCCCATGAGGAAAGACAGAAAGATTCCCATGAGGAAAGACAGAAAGATTCCCACGAGGAAAGACAGAAAGAATCCCATGAGGAAAGACAGAAAGAATCCCATGAGGAAAGACAGAAAGATTCTCATGAGAAAAGACAGACAGAATCCCAGGAATGGCACAATGGTAAGATACAGAATCCTTTGGTTTCTTATTTAACACTGACTAATTTATTCCAGAATCCGATTGTTTACTTTTTTTCTTGTAATTATTTGTCACTATTATTACACGTAATACACAGATTCAGATAAACATATTTTAGTAATTATTACTGAATATCATAGCAATTATTCCACGGTTTTCAATGTTTGTAAAGAGGCCATAGCAACATGATGTTATCAGTTGTTCAAGACATTTTGATGATTTAATGATATTCTGATAAAAGAGTAACTGAGTCAATGTCTCCATTTGAGATGAGGCAAACACTCATTTTTCAACAGTTTCGGGGGAACTTTTATACTTTGAATACACAATGCCATTTCAAAAGGAGTCAGATGTAACACTTGAAATCTGGGAATACACTTTTGGGATTCAAATCCACGCTCTCTAAGTCAGGCACCTAATCGCCAGTGCACAAAGTCGGGCATCTAACTTGCGTGGGTTAGATCGCTGACTTTGTGCACTGGCGATTAGGTGACTGACTTAGAGAGTGTGGATTCGAATCCTGTATGGGACTTCAACCCAACAAAAGTACTAGAATCTGTACTTTACTGGGAACGTGTATTCCCAGATATAACGTGTGTAGCTTACATTACTTGATCTGTAATGATCTGTAATTTCTCTTTGCAGGTAGGTTGTTCTTTAAATATACTCATGGAAATAAATAATGGAACACCTGAAAGTACAAGTGTTCCTTTATTCTTTCACAGGTTTCCTCACACGCTTTGTATTGCACTGTGACTGAAATTCTGGAAAAGAATAAAGGAACACTTTCAGGTGTTCCATTATTCGTTTTCATGAGTATATAGTTGACAAGTAATAACAGTTACTGTATTTACACTCACATAACCTTGATTTGTGGATATAAGGCAAGTGCAGTGAAAATAATATTTAAATGCACGATTTCATTTTGTATGCTCACTGATAATTTTATTCATTGATTCAGCAAATTGAAAATGCCTAATATTCCACCGTGAATAAAACGTTTGTTTACCGAAGCCATTTACAATCATCACCCATTCGTGTGCCCACAAAATGTGACGTCACCTTGTTTCGTTGATTACGTAGTTGGTTACTGTATATCACTATGTATGACAGACCATTGCAGTAAGTATTGACACCTAGGAAAGTAGACGAGATGTGACATGGTTGGTGCCTACGGTATCTTATTTACTTGACATTTTGTAAAAATAATATTTGATATTGGTGGCATTAGTGATCTTGAGCTATTTATCTCAGTGCTGAACAATTAGATTTAGTGTATTTACGTGTAATGCAGAGATTCGGAACATTTTTGTCAGCGAGGCGTTGCATTGTGTGTACATCAAAAGTACCACTTCTTGACTTCATACGAGACTTAATTTACAAGATAGCATGATAATTACCGCGATCCACAAATCAAGGTTATCCACGAAGTTAGGTTACGGTTCTGTAACTGTTAAGATATGAAAGTCATGTGTGATGGAAAGTCTCACTAGTTCATGTATCATTGGTTTGACAGCTAAAGCCAGTCACCGTGTAATGGAGGTCTACAACGACAGGTTCCTGCTGTCTGGATTGACAGAGAAGATGGGAGATGACACCCTACAGAACTATGCTGAAATTACTAGTGGATACGAAGTAAAGAAAACAGAATATTCGACTGATCTCTCATGCGTTGTTGTTACTCTTGACCAAGTGCTTAATGATGAAGGTGATTTGAGTTTATAGAGTTACTTTGTTCATAGTGTTAATTTCATTCATAAATTGCTTAATTATATAGTTTGTGAAAATTGGGTTATTTCATCTGTATAACACTATACATGGGGGTAGTTCGCACTGTATTTCTATTCTAAGATGGCAAATTTAATACTTACCAATACATCCAATACACAAAAACAAATAGGAAAACGATGTTGTTGTGACCTAAATTAACATCGTCAATCAAGGCTAATTGGGGGTGGTGGGGTAGCCTAGTGGTTAAAGTGTTGGCTCGTCACACAGAAGAACCGGGTTCGATCCCCACATGGGCACAATGTGTGAAGCCCATTTCTGGTGTACCCCACCATTATATTGCTGGAATATTGCTAAAAGCGGCGTAAAACCATACTCACTCACTCACTCAAAGCTAATTGATGTTGAACTACATGCTACCAATGCTTCAATCTTAAAATATATGTTACCAATAAAACAAATGAACTAAATGATTCTAGACGTTTTACCTACAGGTTAAACATCTTTTCTCTCTTGTTTGAATTAAATTTGTGATTCTCATAACAGGACAATATGAGTGTGCCATTATCTAGATCAAGCTGTCTTGTCATGTGACATTCCACTGATGCATTGTGGGACTATGGGTGTAGGCCTAGTTAATGAACATTGTCATACTGCTGTTTAATTGTGAGTCAAGCTGAGGCTTTTTTCCATCAAATAAAGTTAAACGTAATGTTCCACCAGTGATGAAACTGGATGCTAACCGACTTAGTTGCACTTTAGGAGACTTTATCAGTCAATGACAACTGGAAAGATTCAGTACGGTTATCAAGGGTACATATCATTACGAGGGTCAGACTAGAATGGTGTGGTGATGTCAGTTCAGTGTGACATGATGCAAAAAGTTAACTTTATCACGTGATAAAATACTGTTGGTGCCTTTTAGTGAAGCATCTAAGAAGTGACTTTCTAGCTCATGAAGATGAAGTTCAGTTGTAGGGCTTTGTTGGTTAATGAAACTTAAAATCATATTCAAAGTCTGCTGAACTAATCAATGTATTTTTCAGATAAAGTGTTTTTTTAAATGTCCCAAGCAACATAAAAAATTCAAAATGGCATATGCAGCAATCCAGTTTTTTTCATATAGCTTGAACATTGCAGAGTTTGAATTAAAATAACAAATAATTCTATTTACTAAATACTTTTAAAAAGAGCATGCAAAATTTCTGGGATCTTCCTGAAATGGTAATGAAGAATCTGTTTCTGTTCTTCAAAGTTCTTGCAGGTTCCTTGGTGTTCGTATATGTTACTCCTTTATAAATATGAATTATAGTCATAACCTAAAATTTCAGAGTTTCAACGTATTACCTGTATTGAAAGATGCTGGAAGGTCGAGTACATCAAACCATTTTTTATGAAACTGAACACCATCAATCTATATTGTTTCAGATTGGAGTCTTTGCAGAAAAAAAATTGCTTATAAAAAGATAGAGGGCAAGGAATTGAGGTTCTCACACATTCCTCTTGCACACAGGATATGTGTGAGGAAAAAGGACAGCATGATCGAACACGATAGTTTGAAAGAATATTTTTCAAGTCGAAGGTCTGGAAACAAGTCTGGATCAAGAGTGACGGAAGTATTGACAACAGACCATTTAGTTGTTGTTACATTTGAAGATCATTCTGGTAAGTTGATAAAGTCAAATATGTAAGATGACAAAACAATTAAGAATGGCATAGAAGTGTTACACGGAAAGGGAGGAAATTTATGGATGTCAACACAATATTTCGGATTATATTCTTACTCTTTCATCAGGTAATAAATGCTAGGACACAGACAGCTTATATATGTGCATGTGAGAACAACAATACTGACAAAACTTGCCCTTATTTTTTAAACTTATCCTATCTCACAGATTGTACTCTTATGATCGACAGTTCAGTTGAAACAACCGTAAACAAAGTTTCTGTCCCCTCTTGAACCCTTCGCCTGAACACATCCCTCGGCTCCTTGTTCCTTGACAGCCTGGTAGCCCCTGAGAAGCATGCAGTCTGTGCTCTGATGGGTCAGGTGACTCCTTTGTCTTTTTCTCTTTCTTGTCACACTAGCGTGCTAATGTGCTGTTTATTGGCTGACACCTAGTAGCTGTTGAGAGTCCATATAGTCATGGAGAAAGAAGATAAAACATCCAGGAAAAGTAAAGATTCACCAGATGTAAGAAGAACTTTTTCAAGCTCGGATCTGCTCTGCTCATGAATTGACTGGATTGGACTTTGCGTGGACTGTTATGTGCAGTTTTTGTGTCAACCTCAACAATGATTTCACCAATGTTGGCTCTAGACGTCTGGTGGCCAGAGATAGGAAGAGATCCGAGGATTCAGGATCTTTTGCATCAAAGAAGACCAAGAAGGACAGACCAGTCAAGAAGGCTCCTTGAGTCTCTCTTTCCACCTCTGAACACCACGATTTCCTCGACACTCCTTTGGATTCCTAACTGAATGAGAACCTTTGCCGACTTTTCCATCCATCAGATGCCGCCAAGAACCCACCAGACACCAGACCCCTACATTGCTGCTGATTTGTTGATCACTTCCAGGCCGTTCCAACTGAACTTACTGGTCTCCTGGGACCATTCAAGGGACACTCAAGCTCATAATAACTTAGACTTTGACATGTTGGTGCTAGCCATGGCAATGTCCCTAAAGCAAGTTCAACACCCAGAGACGGCAACATCACAGAACCATGAGATTCAACCATTGACTTTACCGGTTTCACCAGTCAATGTTCAGCGATCTTCCTCTCCTTCCCCCCTCTTACTCGGAGGATCTCTCTACACCGGAAGGGAGCATCAAGCTGGTTGATACTACCCACATGCTGACCTGGATAGTGGACAACCTTCAGTTTACCAGAAGCAAGTCTGCGGATGACCTGCTGACCAACTTTGCAATGAAGCCGCCTTCATGAACCTCAACACAGTTAAAAGCGTTTTTTCTGCACCACTGTTCATTCTAACCGATGCTCATGTACAAGGGTTCACGACGATGATCACATCCCCACTGGTGAATGAGGACATGTTTAAGCTCTGCCCTAAGTGTAATAACTCGCCATACCTCATTAAAGATCAGGAGATCAGTCATATGATACCTCAATTCGCATGACCCTGTCCCCTCTCAACCTGATCCTCTCGGCGACGGAAGCTGTAGCCATGGCAATGGTGTATGCAGCTACTCGGAAGCAAGCCCACATCCGAGGAGCGATGGCAGTCATGATCGAACACTTCCAAATGGTGTTGGACCAGATGTCAAACTTTTTTGGGTACCTTACAGCCATCAAAGACATAGGCTGCTCAGTCACTCCTCCTGGGATGACCGCTAAAAAGTCGAGCTCTTCTGTCAACCTTGGTCCAGTCCTTTCCTCTTCAATGGCGTCATCGGAGGTGTACCGACTAAGGTTGACTGGAATACACAGTTCCAGGTGTCGGTCGAACTCTTGACACAAATAAAGTTCCAATTCGAAGAGTCTTCACGATGAAGATGTATGGCGCAATATACCCGTCGAACTGATATCTCTGGGATTCCTTTCAGAATAGGCCTCGTTCCGACCCAGACCCAGGAATCGGGCCAGAGCCACAGCCAGTAGCAGAGGTGGACATAACCCTGATGCAGCTCGAGGAGCTGGTGCCAGCAAAAATGACTGTCTGAGAGGATTGCACAACTGGGACCTTCCGCCCCCCCCAGCCGTCTCTTTCACCAATTCACCAATAGGTGGACGAATTGGTGTATATGCTCGCAAGTGCACAATCTTGGTCCTATCTTGGGAGAACCCTTCATCACATCTACGCTGACGCATGGCAACAAACTACCCATCATAGGATTATCACCTCTGCCCCACAATCCAGTTCGTCGAACCTACCCTTCAGCACAGATACAAGTTGCTCAAACCACCACAGGTACATTACTAGAGAAGCTAGCAATTGAGTCTCGCGGCCCTTCGCCTGACACCCCTGACTTCCATTCGCCAATCTTTCTTGTCCCCAAGAAGGATTCGGACAAGCTCCCTTTGATCTTCAACATGAAGGTCTTCACCGTCACTTACCTTCAACCGCCGCCATACTTCAGAATGATCTCTATCGCCCTGCTCCAAACGATAATCAAGCCATGGGACTTCATGATCAGTCTCAACCTTCAAAATGCTTACCTACACATGCCAATCTTCTTGGACCATCGCAAGTACCTGTGGTTCTCCCTCCTTTGGGCATCAGATCTACTTTACCTGGTTCCACACTGGGGCAGTGCAGTACAGTCACCTTGAGTGACTTAATCATAGACTGAGAGACCAGTCTTATACTCTGATGCAGAGGTGATTGACACTCCTACTCACTGACCTCTACTTGTTGAACAATTACATCAGTAGAGTTTGAACACCGAATTCAAATTGATTTCGATGCGTTCCACTCCTAGTTGCCGGGCACATCACTGACTAAGCTTATGCAAAGGAGCGACGGTCATTTGATGTCACCCGGGAACCAAACGTTAAACAGTTCAGTGTCTGTATGGTGATTTTAAGAGATGGTTTCGAAGCAGGGGCTGGCTAGATTAGGGTTGCAAGACTTTAATTTGCTGGGGCTTACTGGAACTCAGGGCAAGGCATGGTTTACATGCTGAGCTCTTTTTCTTCAGATAAATATACAGCAGAAAACACATTCTTCAGGAGCTCCCACTCCCTTGGAGTTTTTGTGCTGAGTAAGCCAAGGGGTTTTGGGGAAGAAGTACAGGAGTTATGCAGTCAATCAGAAGATTGTATTCATAACAGGCCTCCTTATGCATATCATTACATCACCATGGATGTTATCAACTCAGACAGAGGGTAATCTGTTGCCCACTGTCCAACCGTGGGATAAGTACAATCCATGAGGTGGGAAAAATTTAAATATTTATAAATTTTAACTATAAATTGTATGTTTAGAATAATTAACCTATCTCACGCGATGGATTCCCGCCCGACCAACCCTGCTGCACAGATTACGACAATTGCCCCAAGATGAGAATGACAAAGGACTCACATGACCCTTCGTAGCACAGGATGCATGCTTCTCAGGAAGCTACCAGGCTGTCCATGAACAGGAGCAGTGAGTGTGTTCAGGCGAAGGGTTCAAGAGAGGCCACAAACTTTCATTTCCACTCAACTGTCGATCATAAGAGAGAGAGTACTATCCATCAGGTAGGATATTATAAATATGCAGTTTATAGTTAAAATTTTGTTTATTACAGATCAGTTCTTATTTCCTATCAGTACTAATTAATTCCAGGATGCCTTGTGAGGATGAGGCTGAGTAATAACTAGCTGCGCCTGACAGGCAGCATGAGTTGAATACTCCCCCCAGGGAGTTGAGCTGGTTAAAAGAATGCCAGAAAAAAGACATCTGTTGATCATGGGAACACCCAAGCTTTGTGGATATGGGCGCTATATAAATATCCTACAATAATTTTACTTTTTGATTGGTTTTGCCAATCAGTGGCAATAAACTACCTGCTTCCATTGTCAAGTGTCCACCTTCATTGTCATTGTTATCAGGGTTGCCGCGGGTTGGGCAGTATACACCTGGTATCATCAGTATTTGATAGTGATTCATAAACCAATGCTGTGTCATGATGTACCAATTGTCGGAGCAATGCTCATGATGTCACTAGATTTTCTGGTCCAGACTCGAATTTTTACAGATCGCCCTCACATGGATGGTTATTGTGTTGCCTAGTGTGGCATTAAACAAACAAACAAACCCATGCTCAGGGTAGATAGTCCTATTTTCAGTGAAACATATTGCACTTTAAACAAAAAAGTAAATCAAATAAAGTGAAATTAAGATTGCGAGTCCTCATAATTTTACCTTGCCAATTGAACATTTAAATCTCTGAATTTTATGCAACTTAGGATAAAAGTTGTTTAACAAACGATCATAGATTCAAGTTGCTATTATTGGTTTGTATTACAAGGGGGTAAGCACATTATATGAAACACCGAGAACAAGTAGGGTTGGTCTAAGTTAACGCTCATCACGTACCGCACATGCATTTGCTTCACTGCTCCATCTACTGCACTTACCCCCTTATAATACAAACTATTAAGGCCAGACCAATTTTATTTCTTGTTTAACGGATTTTTGTCCTCAGAAAACCTAAAGGCAGGAGGGAAAATAAATAAATAAATAAAATCACCAGTCAAAGTAATATTCCATCTAAATACTCAAAATATTTTACTTTTGGCAATTTATGAAGTGTATATGGGGCAAAAAACAATCTAAAAAACATTTTTCTTGTAAGTTTACATTTTTGCCCGATAAAAACATTAGGATTTTATTTTTTGAGCAGGGAAAATTAGTTTTTATTTTTTTTCTTATTCTTGAAAATATATGACAGGCGGATCCATAAAACAAGAAATAAAATTGGTCTGGCCTAATAGCGATTTGAAACTATGATCATTTGTTAAACAACAGACTATAGTATTTGGCGATAATTGTATAATCAACTTTTTCCTTTGGATGTGTAGAAAGATTTGTTCTCGCCTTTATTATCACTTTGGTTGTTCTCACATATACATATATAGGCTTCTTCCTGGCTCCACCTGATGAAGGATTAATAGTATACCCCAAAGCACTGTGTTGCTCAAAATATAGAAGTTGATATCCTTATATCTCCCACATTATGTAAGATACTGGGCACATATTCTTGAAACGTTCGTAGCCTTAAGAATTCTTAACTTTGATCGTAGCCAATGTGTTAAGTATGGGCTTAAGAAGTTCGTAGGGCTTAAGAAGTTTTGAGAATAGCTAGCCTGATGATGATGCATAATTGGTTGAGGAACCATTTGCAGTTCACATGCTTGTGCCAACCAATTATGACATCCCAATTTGTTCAAGAGCTGCGAGTCTGATTTTCAATTCAGCTGCGCAACAGTTGAACAGACAAGAAACTATCTTTGATTATTACTCACCTGTTATTGGAAAGACAAAGTGGAACTGAATTTTATATTGGGTAGCCAGTAGTGGGTCTCAACAATGTGTTCTGTTTTTACAAATATCCTTAAATTTTTACCTTGATTTGACTGTTGCAAATGACCGCCTCCGTGGTGTAGTGGTTAGAGCGTCCGAGGAGAGCAGAAGGTCGCAGGCTCGACCCCAAAGCGTCATACCAATAGACGCGTTAAAATATGGTACTTGTTGGTCCCCTGCCTTGGCGCTCGGCAAGGACTGGGCTCACTCACTCACTCAACTAACTGCGAAAGTGGTATTGTGCATCACAAAATATTCTTTCCTGCATATGCTTATTTCTCAGTGACCGCCTCCGTGGTGTAGTGGTTACAGCGTCCGTCCGGAGAGCGGAAGGTCGCGGAATCGATCCCCGACCGCGTCATACCAAAAGACGTTAAAATATGGCACTTGTTGGCCCCTGCCTGGCACTCGGCATTAATGGGTACAACAAGGACTGGTCGGCTCGGAGTCAGTATAATGTGTCTGAGTGGGCTATTCATGCTTCACTGTGGCATTGTATCTCAGTGGGCTAGCACTATAAAACCAGCTTAAGTCTGGGCTAGTACAAACAGCCTCACATACACACACACGCATGCACGTCGTCATACGAGCGAAATATTCTCAAGCACGACGTAAAACCCAATTTCACCTCACCTCACCTTTGCAAACACTTGGTCATAACTTAGAAATGCATGTTCAAAGTGTAATGCAATTGTTATATGTGTGGTTAGTTGTGGGGTCAACACAAAACGTCTAATGCTTTTTCCAACCTATTATGGTATGTGAATTTGCTCAAGAGGTTTTAAATTAAAAAATGTTGAAAATGTTTTGTTAAGGTTTGAACTTTTCACTGCACAGATGAGCTACAGTGTTATGTGGCACATGTATTCAGGGCTTTCATGACACCGAAATGTGCATCCAGTACACACAAAGGTATAGAATGGAAGCAGCAAATATATCTATCTATCTATTTATATCTATCTGTCAGAACTCACAAAACACTATGAACCACCACGACAACTATGATCTGCAGACCTCTGTCTCCTCTGTGTGTCAAAGCCAAAGCTTAGATGGTTTGGGAAAAGATGCTTTTCCTTCAACACAGCAACATTGTGGAATAAACTGCTTGTGACTTGAAAAGAATTGAAAGTCTCAGCACTTTCAAAAGGGCTTTAAAGACCTACCTGTTTAAACAGTTTTACAACTCTGCCTAATCTACAAATTACAAACTTTGTAAATACCAGTGGACTTTGTTAGCGCTATGAGCATTCACCTAGTGAATGGAGTTTAGCGTATTATAAATGCACTTAATGATACATATTCATTGTACCAAATTCTTCACAAGAAATATGAAGGCTCTGTGATTACTGTACCATTTCATTACTTTACAGGACCCTCATATTTCCTGTGTGGACCCAAGTAATTATTACTTGGTGGTCCAATAGACCCCTAGTTTTGTAGGTCAAGGTCAAACCATGTTTCTGTATTTCCAGCTGTGGAGAATGTGCTTGCTCATGGAACGCACAGTATCTCTGGTCAATCATTCAACATATCTGTCTATTATGACAACGTCGGACATGTACAGGAAAGTTCCAAAGTCAGCACAACTAGAGTGTATACTAAATTGTCTCGTCATGAGATTGAGCTGCTGGAGGTTTCTGGGCTGTTGCACACTTGGTTGAAGGAACTGACTCATTTGGATGAAGCATCAGTTGACGACAAGGACAAAGTCAAGCTGAAAGGCACAGAGACAGATATCAAAGCTGTTGAAGACAAGATTGATCAGTTTAAAAACCTAATTGTCGACAGATCTATTGAATGTTCTTCGGCTAAGATGGAATACCTTCTGAGTTTAGATGGAAAGGCTCACACTCTTGCAGGAATGAAGGAAAAGAAGATACAAAGCATTTGGTTCAAGAATAATGGAATGCTTAAAGTGTTGGCCAGATCAAAAGATGACTTTAAATGTATGATGTCATGGATTACCAAACACATCTTTGAAATACACCATGAGGTTTCTGAGGAAAGTCAAGATATAATTGAGGAAAGACTTGATGTTTTGAGAAGACGCTGTGTGAATGACTATGGAGAAGGAACGTTTTGTTTGGACTACACACCCAGAACCAGAAGTATAATAGCTGTAGCACAGCATGAGGTCAAATTCCAAATAGGAGAAGAGTTAAAGAAGACCTTCCCAAAACCCATCCCAATTGTGAACAAAGAAATGCAGTTGCCACAACACATACAACAATTCATGAAGAAATACAAGGCTGAACTGATTAGCAAAATTGGAAAGGTTGAAATCATTTGGCGGAAGGACAGCATCGGGCTGCATGGGAAAACTGAATCAGTCCAATATGCCATGCAAGAACTTGAAAAGATCAAGAAGCCCATTCATGAAAGTGACTTTTTATGTATGGATATGAAGATTCCTTTAGATGCAGCAATGTTAGATTGTTTCAGTAACTACGTAGAAAGAACTGAAAGATGCATCATAACATGGCAATTTGTGAGACATCCAGAATTGTTTGGAGCTGTAGGAAGATCTGTGGAATCAGTCAGACATGATCCAGAAAACCCAAGACATGACAATCATCAGCAAAAGAGAGAAACTGACAGAAATGAAGCATCTGGTGGTCACAGAAGTGGTAATGCACAGAAGAAATGTGGACCAAGCTCAAGGCGAAACCGAAGTAAGTCTTATGATTAAAGTCACATGATCACATTCATGCTCATATTTCCCAGTAGCATTGCTTTTATGTCTTGTGACCCTGAAACAAGTGCATCCAATGCAGGACTGGGAAGTCTAGATTACTGCAGTTTCGGGAATATGAAGAAAGTCTCTGGGCTGCTTTGTATTTTTTTAATTGAGATCATTTAGAAAATATGTTCATTTAAGGGACTTGATGTTAGTGTGGTAATAAATACTTAGAACACTGATACTGTGTTTTGGTTCATCGATGTAGGGAGGAAAAACCAATGTGCAAAATGTTTGAATATGCATTTAAAAATAAGCTTCATGAACTAAGTTAACCACTTCTTTCAAAAATGAAATGTTTTTGTTCCCTATCAGTTTCCATGATAATAGATCAATTTCATGAAAAACTTTAAGTTGCCATTGGGATTAGACACCACAAAGTCTGCAGTGGAGATTAACAAAAGTATTCTTCTGCCATGGCAACATGGAAGAAAATTTACGAAATTAACATGTTAATGTTTACTTTTGACTAAAGGACTATAGTTTATGCATTTATGACCATTGAAATGTGAGTTTTTGGCAGTATGGTTCATGTTATTTTAATTTATATGTATACTGTGATCGGCTTTTAGAAACAAGGAGTATGGTTTTTTTTGTTCAGGGCTATGGTTTTTGTTCTCATAATAGGCCAATCAACCTGGGGGAAACACTACTTAAGGGATTGATAAATGTGATCTAGCATACTACTTGACCAAAGATGTGCATTCAGGGAACATATTTCACATGCATCACGACCGCCTCCGTGGTGTAGTGGTTAGAGTGTCAGCCCGGGAGAGCGGAAGGTCGCGGGTTCGATCCCCGACCCCGTCTTACCAAAAGACGTTAAAATATGGTACTTGTTGGTCCCTGCCTGGCGCTCGGCATTAATGGGTACAACAAGGACTGGTCGGCCCGAAGTCAGTATACTGTGTCTGAGTGGGGTATTCATGCTTCACTGTGGCATGGTATCTCAGTGGGCTAGACACTATAAAACCAGCTTAAGTCTGGGCTAGTACAAGCAGCCACACATACACATACACACGCATGCACGTCGTCATATGAGCGAAATATTCTCAAGCACTACGTTAAACCCAATTTCACCTTACCTCACCTCACATGCATCACACAGGACCAACTAAGAAATGTTCACAGAGATAAAAATAGAGTTCTTGAATATTTTTTATAACTCATACCATCAAACCAGGTTTGTAAATATTTTATGTTCTGTGAAATGAATGTTGGCCACAGTTCAAATAGGTAAGCACATGTGGACCTTGGTGAGTTTACAGTTCAGTACAATACCTCATTTCATTGCTTTACATAACCTCTTATTTCCTGTTAGGATCTGTAAAATTAGTAATTCGGTATCCTCCTGATCCCAGGTTTTGGAGGTCAAGGTAAAACTCTGCAATGCCCTCAAAGTGGCAAATAGGACTTTTCAGCGTTTAGGTTGTCATTATGATATGTGATTAGGCTTTTTAAGGTTATTACACAGGATCTAAATGCTTATAAGCAGAAATACTTGAGAGTTTTTGATAGGATATTAAGCTTAGAAAGAACATCTGTCCTCTCAATCAAAAGTTTAAGCTCACCAGTAGTGAAAAATGGCAATCATCATTGAAGATAAATATATGACCATCTGGGTGTATAACAAAATAAAGCAAATTTCCTTGAAAGAAAACATATTAAGTTTCCAGAATTATGTTTAAATAGTTCTATATAGGCTTAGCTCACCTGAGTAAGTGTCCCTTGTCCATTGTCCATTGTAAACTATTTCTCATCAATTGTTTTCAGAAGGTACTGAAAATTGATATATGTTTAATAAGTACTGGCACTCAACACATGTTTCTTACTTTAAGGATGTTTTATATTTTCTCCTTGATTGGTCATATTATTAAGTTCCTACTTTAGCATATTTGGCTCTTTCAACATTTTTGTTCTCAACGACATGTCTCAGAACCGTAAATTATTTTCTTCAATGTGTTGAGGCCCGTTGATGTCCTTTTTTGGTTAGATCTATAAGAGGAGAAACAATAGCTGCAAAATTGGGTATGATTTTGATTTTATAACCCGCAAGACCTAGGAATGATGACATTTTTTGCTTGGGCAGGATGCCCCAAAATTTGAATGTCTTGCCTTCAGGGATTTGACTTTCACTGACTACACTTCCAGTTGGTGCAGTCTAGCTAGCAGCTACATGTATTTCAGTAACGGCAATTTGATATGTCAAAGTGTCCATCGAAGGCCACTGAAAAAGATAAAATTATCATCTTTGAAATTCTGGATTCATTCAGTTTCATGTGTAACGCAGTCTTTGTGTAAGATGTTTCTGGTGCATTTACCATTTGGTTTAAATGGAAACGGTTGGATTTTTCTTTGAAGTGGGATATTCACAGAACTGGAGTAATATTAAACTTGAGGCATGGCACTCACTGTTTTTGAACTTGTCATGCATGAGACTTACCATATATTTCAAAAGATTCTCGAGTCTCTGAATGTTGATGCCAGGTATAAACTGCATAATGGTGTGTAATGGTTTCTGAGCCTTGGAGCCAGTTGCAGTGAAGGGGAAGCTTCTGTTTTGTCATGTAATTGCAATGACTTTTCTTTGCTACCGTTTTGTGGAAATAATAATGATTTGTATTTATCAGCTGTATGCTGATAATATCATAATGGTTTGTTTACACTCCCTTGCTTTTTTCCTCTCCAGAATTCAAGTTTGACAGCCCTTCAAGAATTGCAGTTAAATTGATCAAAGGTGAAATAGCTAGAGCAAAGGTAAATATGAAGATGGTGTTAATGTTCCTTGTGGAAACTGGTTAAAGTTAAGTTTCCCTTTGTTAAACTGGAGTGCAGATGTTTAGTGGTTACCCAGTACTTCCCCAATGATTGAATCTTATCAAAAGACATTTAAAAGATGGTCATGGTGTTTCACCTTGTTGGCAGTTTCCATAACTCCTTGTTAGAATGCCATTGAATCGTTTAAAAAATTATTTCCTCAACTATTCCCTGTTGTTGTTGTTTTGTTTTTTCATTGAACAAGCATAAACACTCTGTTAAAAAAGCCAAAATAGTTAGGTATTTTTGGTAGTTTCATTAATATATTCATTCTGTTCATTTTGGAAAAAAAATAACATAATTTTGACATAGAGAAAAATGTGCTTTTGTCTTCTAACTGCAGAGTTCATATGTAGAATTATGTTATAAACCTTATATCATCAGAAAGGCAAATGACTAAGGAATTTAATAACACTGCTATAACTGTGAACTGTCACTGACTTACATGGTGAAAATGGTGTCAAAGAATTATCAAAAGTTGGAAAATGTGGTAATGTTCAAGGGAGGTAGTCACAACCTTAAATTTGGTTTTGGTGAGAGTAAAATCTGAGTGGGAATAGGTTATCAAGTGTCAAGCCTTGATCATACATTTCAACATATCCTCCTGAAAATCCTACCAATTTCACCTAAACATAATTCGAGATAGTGAACTGAGTTATAAACTAACATATTCTTAGATACAAGTAATCAAATCCACTGCTATATCTTCAATCCGTATCAAATAACAGGCTGAACTTGCAAGGTGGAAAACAGCAGTGAAACGTATAACGGTGGAACACTACATTGTTGTATTGTGATTGGGGTTTAAATCGCAAAAACAAACAATTGACATGTACAGCTATATCATACTGACAAGCATCAGATTTAAGATGCAATATTCAACAAGCCGGAGAAATCACTTATCATTCCATTTCTAAAAATGTTAGTAAAATACAATCTTTGGTCCAGAATTTAAGAAATTACATCATATTGATGTGTATGTTTGTTACCATATTATAAAAATAAGGATTTAGATCACATTCCATGAAAAGAACATAACACAGTCAATTAGTAGATACTTTTATTTATCATATTGGCAAGAGATTTCAAATTACATCTGACAATATACTTTGAGGTTTTAGGTTTCTTGTATGCCAAACATGTCATTGTGTGATTGAAGTGGTTCAGAATACGTTTTTCAGATGCGATAATTTAGTGACATACAGGAAGAGATGTGGTGTTGCTTTTCTGTTGCATGGAATGGGTTTGTGAATGGTATCATTTCTCAGAGGTACAGATAATCTGCGTATCTGCGTAAATTACGCACATATTTATGTGAAAACTCAATTCCTGTTAAGTCTGTTGTGTGCAAGTACGCTTGAATTGTCGTAAATACTCAATAAATGTTCTATTTCAGGACATGAACTTGACAACTTGCAGTCTTTCTTATCATTCTCATATTACAGATCAAATATAAATAACAAACAGTAACATTTAAACTTTATTATATTTTTACAATTAATGGAAAATGGCAAAATACCCAAATGAGTTTGAGTGAGGTGAGTACAATTTATTTGGTTACTCAAAGGAAAATGAGGATAACCAATTGAGATGAACACAAACGAGTACATAACTCATGACCGAAAAAGTTTTCTGTAGCTCTGATTTCTTCAGCCATAATAAGTCCAGCTGTAGATTGATTGCTTGAATAGTCAAGCCTTGACAGTAGGATCAGTGAATGTATGTATGATCAAACAACAATTCATACCAATGGGTCTCATTGACATGCAATGATAATGACCCCCTCTTTCTTTCAAGTGAACTCTTATGACAATCATTGGCTACTGGGGGCAATTTTCCCCTCAGAATCCAGCTGCCAATACAAATGTCTTTCCCCACCCCCCCTTTTGTGCTGAATTTTTTTTAATTGACCATTGAAACTCGGGTGAAAATGAAGTGTGCACCCCTCCTTTTCTCAATAGTGTGCACAACCCCTTTCTCAAAAAAGCTGTATCCGCCCCTACTTTCCTGGAAGTATATGTGTTGGTATGTGTAAATTTGAATGTATATTTAACAATATCTGTCCATTTCCTATATTTTGCAGGCTGATGTGATAGTCAATGTTGTGGATAAGTATTTTTCCATCGACACTGGAGCAGTATCACAGTCAATCATGAAACTTGGTGGGCAGGAGCTGAGAAATGAATGCAAAACACATTCTCAGAAAAAATTGTCAGAAGGTCAATATGTAATGACTGGTGCTGGAAAACTGGAGTGTAAAAGAGTCATTCATTGTCATTTGGCACCTAGAGACAACCCAAAGGCTGCAGAGGTAAATAAACATCCGTTTTTCTTATTCTTTTGTAACTGCTGGTAAAAAGGGATGGTGTCTGTAGGAATGAAAGTCAAAAACTTAACATAAATCAAGTGAGTAAGTGAGTGAGTTTAGTTTTACGCCGCACCCAGCAATATTCCAGCTATATGGCAGCAGTCTGCAAATAATTGAGCCTGGACAAGAAAATCCAGTGATCAACAGCATGAGCATTGATCTACGCAATTGGAAACCGGTGACATGTGTCAACCAACTCAGCGAGCCTGACCACCCAATCCTGTTCATCGCCTCTTACGACAAGCATGGGTTACTGAAGATCAAATTCTAACCCGGACCTTCACAGGTCACATAAATCAAATGTGGTAATGAAATAAAATATGACTTAAGTTCCCTTTTGACCTGACCTTGTAATTGCCACTTCTTCTGTTTTCTGCCCACACACATTTTTGTAGCTTTTCATTTTTAGCCCACCATGAACTAATGTCATGCCTTTGATGTAATATTCATAAAACTAGGCATGCATAAATAGTGGAATAGGGTTCATTTCTCATAAGAAATCCAAAGCTGCCAGAATTCTAGTAAGACTGTCAATATACTATCGACAAAAAATAAGGGAACTAAGAAATTGAATGCAGCAAACGTAGAGGTGAAAGGGTGCGTTACCGTAGCGTTGCACCCGAACGCAACATCCAATGACAATGAAATTCCACATGATGCATTACCAACACGTGATGCACGTGCACACAGAAGTCAACCTCTGTAAACGTATTGGAGAACTCACAATCACTAATGTAAGAGAGTTGAACATATGCTGAAAAATGCCTCCGAGGCAGTATCTCAATGAACAAACAAAATGGAGAATTGTGGGGATGATAGAGGGGGGGACATCATTGTGTCAAGTTGCCCGAATGTTGGGTAAATCAAAAAGTGTAATTTCACGCCTGTGGGACAAGTACCGTCAAACGGGTGGGGTTGCAATGAGACCTGGGCGTGGTAGACCAAAATCAACGACACCACGACAGGATCGTCTCATTACATTAATGGCCCTACGCAATAGGTTCAAATCAGCACCTGCCATCAATAGGGAATTCCGTACACTCACTGGGCGACGAATTTCACACTCAACCGTTAAAAACCGGCTCTATCAAGCACGTCTGAAAGCAAGGCGGCCTTTCAAGGGTGTTACCCTTACAGCTCACCATAGGCGCCAAAGATTGGCATGGGCTAGGCAGCATCAGGGACGGGCTTTGCGCCATTGGCGTTACACCATGTTCTCAGATGAGTCAAGGTTTTGCCTCAGATTCACAGATGGCAGAAAACGTTGTTGGCGCCGTAGCGGTGAGCGGTATGCCAGAGCGGCAATTATTGACCATGATCGATATGGGGGTGGTAGTGTCATGGTGTGGGGTGGGGTTACACATGACAGGCGATCAGATCTGGTCATCGTTAATGGATCCTTGACTGGTCAGCGATACGTTGACGAAATTTTGCGTCCTGTCGTGGCTCCACTGGCTAGAATCATCGGCAGGAATTTTGAATTCCAAGATGATAATGCCAGACCACATCGGGCCCAAATTGTCACAGCTTATCTCCGACGAGAGGGCATACAGACATTGGACTGGCCCTCTAAGTCCCCAGACCTGTCCCCAATTGAACATCTATGGGACATTCTCGGTCGAAGGGTGTACGCCAGGGACCCCGCACCCGTCAACCTGGCCCAGCTTGGTGCAGCTCTTCAGGAGGAATGGCGGGCAATACCACGGGCAACCATCCGGAAATTAATCAACAGTATGCCATCAAGGTGTCGTGAATGTGTTGCCCAACATGGTGGACACACCAGATATTGAACTTTACGCCCACATTTGATTTAGTGGACATTCAGAGCAATTTCACATTCACTGTCATTTCATCAGTTCCCTTATTTTTTGTCGGTAGTATATTTAGAAAGTTAAAGAAGTGATCCCTTCAAATATGGTGACAGCCTACATTGGGGGACTACGCAGACACCAGTCGATTTGGGTGACTTTGACCTATCGTCAAGGTTGCCACGACACTGAACACTTTTTAAACTCTTGTTATCCCCCACAACTCATTTTATGGGGTGTTAAATGGACTCCGTCCGTGCGTGCGTCTGTCCGTCCATGCACATTTGTCTTTTCCGGAGCAGAACTCTAAAACCGTTCACTATTTCTTCACCAAACTTGGCACATAGATAGATATGGTGGTGTACTGGTGCCTTTTGATAGTTTTGGAATTCTGATTAAAATATTTTTAGCGTTTCCATGGCAACAAGTTTGACTTAGCCTGAAATTGAGTGTATTGCTCTTTTCCGGATCTGGTGGTGTACTGGTGCCTTTTGGTAGTTTTGGAATTCTGAATAAAACATTTTGGCGTTTCCATGGCAACAAGTTCGACTTAGAATGAAATTAGCGGTAGTGCTCTTTTTCGGAGCAGAACTCTAAAACCGTTAACTATTTCTTCACCAAACTTGGCACATAGATAGATCTGGTGGTGTACTGGTGCCTTTTGGTAGTTTTGGAATTCTGAATAAAATATTTTTGACGTTTCCTTGGCAACAAGTTTTGACTTAGCCTGAAATTGGTGGTAGTACACTTTTCCGGAGCTGAACTCTAAAACCGTTCACTATTTCTTCACCAAACTTGGCACATAGATTGGTCTGGTGGTGTACTGGTGCCTTTTGGTAGTTTTGGAATTCTGAATAAAATATTTTTGGCGTTTCCATGGCAACAAGTTCGACTTAGCCTGATTGCCATTTGCGCAAGCCCAAGATATAGCTGCTTTGAGAAATAATTATGACATGACTTCCCATGCAAGTTTTAAACCTCTCAAACCTCGGGAAATTTGCTTTCCTTCAAGCATATTGTGTGCACTAGCCAGGGCATAGACATCTGAATCCACCAACAGTGAAAGGAGTCCACCATCAGCATAAGAGTTTTCCTATACTGCCAATGAATGCCATTATGACCTTTGGAAATATCTGAAGGTCACACATAATTAGATCTCAACTTTAGCACATTTAACAATGGAGCCAAAAAAGAACCCCTCTAATTGCAGTTGGCTCAGAAATTTTATGAACTGCCGGTATTAGTCAAGATTCACTACACAACTATTGAATATGGCCTTGACCTTTGATCTTGAAGATGTCTTTCCACATGTATTGGGTATGCAGGTTGCATAATAACATAAACACTTGTAAACATTCTTGAAAAGTAACAATGTGCAAGAGAATGCCATGATATAGTTAATTTCTTTATGACAATACAAAATCCATGGTAACCATGACAATGCCCTAACTAGCATGTTTCCTGATGTTTAACCTTCTGTGATTTTTTTTCCCAATGTTCATTCTGTGGGGTTTCTTATGATACCAAATACATGGTGCTGCATGTACAATGCACTCATCAGTTAAGAATCTGAAATATGCAAGACAGAATATTGACTTTTGAGCAAAAATAGCTTCAAATTCGATTGTTGTGACCTTGACCTTTGACCTTGACCTTGTTGTTTACATGTGTTGAAAGAGCAATGCTTGGGGTATCAGAAACATTCACAACATTGACAAAATACATGTTCATTGTCAAGACTTAGCCATCTATATGTAGCAGTCATGTTCTCTCAAAAATAGCATGGTTACCATGGAAATGCCCCCAAATGACATGTTGCCTGACGCTTTCAAGACTGGCAACGTGGTTTTGAAAAAACTAAAGATTCCAAGCTTTCCAATGATACCAAATACACATTGCTATACCTCCAGTAGATCTATCCCCTTTACTTTGCTACTACCTAGCTGGAGATTGCCACTGGTCTAATTGCACAGGTGTACACATTGATGTATAACTGGTTGTAATCATGTTACAAAGTAGATATGCTGAACATTTTACTCCTTCAAGAGCACACTTTTCGATCATGGAATCTGTTAATACATTGTGGAATAATTTAACAAATTCAAAAATGCATAAAAACACACAAACTAAAAAAGCAATTGTCAAGATTGATTTTGTACATGACATGCAGGGGGGTCGCCTAATTTTGTACATAAATTTTAGGGGGGGGTCATTCACATTTTACATGCGTCTCCATAAAAATCATCACACACACACACCCTAGTCATAAATTATGAATGGTCCCTTAGGACATAGTATGACATGCCCAGCTCTCATATAATAGCCTCTTTATATGTGATGTTCCTGTGTAGACACGAACACAGTTATCTAGCAAGTGATGTACAGTTCAGTTCACATTAGGGGTTTTACATCAACTTCTGGGGTTCCCAATTTCATGGCAGGGACAGGTTGGTTATTTATAAAAGTAATATTGCAATGAAATGCATTGTAGGGTTTAGAAAATAGAGACCTGTCAAAATAAAATGAATCAAAAGATATGTGGTTGAAGCATTTTAGACATAAGTAAAGTTATGATTGTACAGTTAATATACAGGCTGATAATATTAACTGATGTTTGCACAAAAGATAAAGGTTATGTACAAAGTGTGATGGATAGGTTGGGATTGATGGGGAAGACAGTAATGCGATGGAAAATGAGAATATAATGAGATAAAGGTTGCTAAATGATGAGTTGATGGTAGGCAGTAGGGATGTAATAACCCTGGGTGCCGTTGTACAAAACAACCTTAGCGCTAAGGCTACCTTAGTCTATGTTAAGGTATGGGAGTTACGGTCACCTTAGCGCTAAGATCGTTTTGTACAACGGCACCCTGGTCCTTTAACTGGGAATGGTTTAAGGAGATTGTGACAAACAGGCAGATTATGTCATCTGTATTTTTTTACTGAAACATTGATACATCTTGCCAAAATAATGCTGTAGTCCATCATAGGCTGAAAAATCTGAAAAAGGATTTATCGTAGCTAAAAGATACATAGTTAAGTATCATCCCAATGCTATGAAGTCAAGGTTGCAGTAAATGTAAATGTCATTCATAAAGTATGTTTGCTACTTTCACTGTAATGCTTTTTTTCTTGAAATAGTTTGGAGTCTTACAAACTTAGAACCTATGAAGCAAGTGCCAACTCACTTTCATAGTAATTATGTCTAACATTTAAAGATGAAATTGATTCTTCACCCAAACAAGTCTTTTTCTTTTGAAAGAGCAAGTCAATGAACCCAGAGCCTTGTGACACATTTTTCAAAACATACATTGTTGTACATCTTGTATAACCTTAGTGTTGATTATACATATTTTACATTCATAGAGCAAAACCTGTAATTAAAATTACACAATGCTAGGATATATTTCTTTTGGTTAAATAATAGTTTTATGTATTATATTTTACTGACAACTGCGTCAGAATTTATCCCATTATATTATTGTGCATGTTTTAACTAAATCAGCGGTAGATTGCCGGGACACATGTGCACAGCTGATTGCTATTTCCGGCTCTATATACAAGACAAATACACACAGTAATCTTAACCCCTGCATGTAATACAATGCTCAGCAAAAACAAATTAGAACTGAAAAGTTAAATAATCTTGTCTAATGATGTTTAATTGCAAATGTGACGTTTTCGGTGACAAAGTCGTTTCTCTTGTTCGTTCAAGCAAAACGTTGTTTTCTTACTGGTCAAAAAAAAAGTTTGATGAAAGTGTTACCCATAGATAAGCCAACCCCATTCTACAGGCTGCTTTTTTTGGTCTTCAAAATTTGGCCTATTTACAGTAATATACGGTAACTGTTGCAGATGCTTATTGACTTGATTGAGAGGATGCTAGACGCAGCAAACAAGGATGGATATACTAGTATGGCTCTCCCAGCACTTGGCACAGGAGCTTTGCTTCAATATGACCCTGGTGTTGTAGCCAACAGCATGTACAATGCTGTCCACAAGTTTGAACAGAGATGCCCAGCAAGCAAGCTGAAGGAAGTACAATTTGTACTGTATCCATCTAATACAGATGTACTTCAGGTGAGTCTGCAGGTTATTTACAGCATCCTAAACTAATTTGTCACTGGATATTGAAATATACTCTTTCCGTTCGTCTGACATGTTTCATTTCAAGAACTTAATTCATTGAGAAAATCAGACATTCTCTTGGTATTGAGCAATTATTTTTGTACATGTTTTTCCTTTCCTGAGACAATAAGTTCACATAAATTTCCAGTGCCGAACTAATAAATATAGTTTATCTCCATGACACTTTAAGATAAAAGATCAGACTTGTCAGGACTGGTTTGGTTATAAAAGGTTTAGTTAGGGTTCATGTTCATTAGTCAAACTATTCAGCTATCGTAAATCAGTTCAGGATTTGTATTAAAAAAGGTATTTTTTTCAGGGAAACTTATATATTCTATCTGTGGTTACCGTTTCCATCTGTGAGTGAAAATTGTGTGCAATGAAAAGTAAAATTGCATTTTGGCTTAATCAGAGAGTATAGAACTCTTTTGAGGAACAGAAAGAATTATGTGTTGTGTAGTGTCTGAAATTGTTCATAATTATGTCAGGACTAACCACTGTTATTGGTATAATCAAGTATGATATTGACATACACAGCAATGTTTTGTGAGTTTCAACATATTTTATATGGTGATGAATGTGAGTGTCTCTTGTCTCTTTTACATTTATTTTAGTTCTTCCCTTGGCACTACCAATGTCACTTCTCTCACAATTAATATAAGAAAATACATTTACACTACTGTTAATTCTATCATGAAATCATAGAACTCTTATTGTCATTCATAGTTTTGCCACATTTGAATTAGGAAAATACTGTATTCTGATTGGTAAAATAGAGGTTCATGATAGCCACCCCTGATTAAAACAGATGATTTGTTAGCAACTTTACCATGGATTCAAATTTCTTTTTCATCATTGTCGGTAGGCATTTAAAAAAAAAATGGTATGTGCAAATTTTAGGTTACAAAATGTATCATTGCAGTTGCTACCCTTTAGTGTGTTAACTTATGGCATGTATGGATATACCGTATTTCCTCTAATAAGTGCCTGGGAGCTTATTAATTCAGCAAACTCTCAGACCGGGGCACTTAATAGGGGCCGGTGCTTATTGGAAGTTTCAACAGAAATAAATATTGATTCTCCCTTGGAATTCCATTTGAAAACTCCATTGTAAACATGAGGCACACCCGGGCAGTTATTAGAGACCCAGCGCTTATTGGAGACCCGGTGCCTTTTGGAGATCTTATTTCTTGAACAGTTGCTTTACCCCCAGTGCTTATTGGAAGCTTGCGCTTATTAGAGGAAATCGGTACCTCCATGATATCATGTAATGTCCACGATAAAAGGTTTCTCTGTTATGCAATTCCTGCAATGTGAGACTTAGAACTTTAGTGGAAATCAATCTAAAAAAGTACAGGACCTGTGTATCTCTCATGGCTTAATACCTTTTGATCAACAGAGTTTGTTTGGTGTTTCATGCCACACTCAGCAATATTACAGCTATGTGACAGGTCTGTAAATAATCAAGGTTCAGGGATTTCCAGGACGCAAATTCCTGTGTCCTATACGCTTAAAATGTGACAATGGACTCAACGAAATCTATTAGCACATCCACAGGGACGCAGAAAAAGTCCAAATACATTTGTAAAATTTCCAATCACGTAACAATAAGTTATCACTGAGTTGGCTACTATCATTTGCAGTTTCATTACTGTAACAATTAATGTGTTGATCATGATACACAGTATTAATAATAGGGACCCTCAAATACAGGACTCAAGGTAAATCCTTGGAGTTTGGACCAGACTATCTAGTGATCAACAGCATGAGCATAGATTTATATGTGTTTATGGAATTGTAAAACATGTTCATGATTTGAGATTGTTCTAGGAAACTGGTACCTTCACTACCTTTCTGCTGACATACAGAAAAAGCACTAAAAATGCCAAGCCATTTGCTTTTGTATGTGACATTCTATGCTAAAAACATTACACAAAGAAGGAACTAAAACGTGAAGGATATCATGTCACTTCCATGTCTCTATGGTCGTCATATGAGGGAAATATTCTCAAGAACGACGTAAAACCCAGTTTCACCTCCATGTCTTTATGAGTACTGAATAGTGTAGGTCATGAATCTGTTGTTTCTTTACAGGCTTTTCAAGAAGTAGAAAGAAGTAGAGATGCTGCACAGATGAAAAGTAAGTGTTGTTACGGTTAAATAATTGCCGTGACAAAAGATTTAAGAATTTTGAACCAGCAAAATATAACACAGACAAGTCTAAAATATTCAATAATATATTGAGCAAACAACGAGCAAGCTACAATGAATCACAATACAGATTTCTAATACATTGCAATGAGAGTCACAAATCTAAAGTTATGGGTCACATATATGAAATATTAACTCACCAGAGTCTTGGTAACCACAGTGAGGTCAGATATTATAAATGGAGCTTGTTTACAAATGAAAGCAGTCAGGCACAAGTGTCAGGGTCAGACGATGTTGACGAAGGACGACGGTAACTCCAGTGGTATCGAAAGTCCCGTTTAATTCCGTGTGTTATTCCGTGTGTCAGTCCTTGCATGTCACACCACACAATAGCCAGCCTATAATATATTCTGACACAGATTCTCGAACTTTCCAGCAAGCATGGCTGTATCATTAACCACTTAGATCTTTCTCGAAATGTGTTGAACATACGACATGACGATGTCAACACATAAACATCCGGTCAAGGGAGGTAACTCTTGAGCGCTATCATAAAGGCGTGCCGCTAAAATACTGTTGAACATATATGATGCGAAATGCGACCCACAACCAACATTCAAAACTTTAAACTATGTGACTCATAATTATTATCACCTAACCAGTGTTATTACAAATTACAAAAAACACACTCTCGTAACAGTGTAAATCTTTGCCTGACTGACTGAAAATCCAGGCAGCACATATGCAAGCATGCTTGTTCAGTGTCTTAACTGTACAAAGTCTCTTCTTTGGTACCACAAAACATGCGTTTTCTGACCCAAGATGGCACCCCATCCCACCTTGTTCTGGATGTTCAAGTCCAAGTTTTTATATGGCTGCCACGTCAGCCATCTTAAAACACCTACTTATCGCCTTTACTCAACTGTTTTAGCTGTATAGCCGTGAATAGCTGCAAAATTTCTGATGTTTTTTAAACCAACATTTACTCACGCACTCACTTTTGGCTGTAATGAAATGCTGGGCTCGTCTGCAGCAGACTGAACTGAAACAGAAGTCAAGCATGTGGTGTTGGAGGACTTCCAATATGACCATATTTGGAGGCTCTATGTATGAAGCCTCAATAACCTCTGAAATTTTGTTTCATTCTTTGGAATTGATGGGCAAGACTAAAATGCAATTTATGTTACTTATGCATCTCTCTGGATGTTTTGAAGTCATAATTCGCATTATAGATGTTATCTAGCCAATTCTAATAAACCATACCTACCATTGGCACTTTGATGAAGATCAGGAGTGTGAATGGGTTCTCTACCAGAAGCATAAGCCCTTCTGACAATCTGGATAATGCAGAAGGCTGCAGTGTTTGGGGAGCCTTCATATTCTCCAGAAAGTTCTTGGTGGGTTCAAAACCAGCGCTTCCTGGGACACGTCCCAATTGCTGTCTGGACTGTGTGTAAAGGAGGCAAGAGCTGATGATGAGCTCAACCAGCCTGACTTTGCCAGCATCACACCCAAACCCTCTTTGCTGCATTCATCTATTTAGATCTGTAAAACAAAATACGAATATATGCATTATTAAAGTGCATCATTGAACACTAGCATGTGCTCTTTACACTCTTTGACACACTCTTCGGGGTTTTTAAGAACTTGATGATCATTTTTTAAAGCTTCCAAACTAAGAAGAGGTTAGCATAGAAACACTAAGTGTTTAATGTTCTTAGATGCCAAGCTGATACCTTGGTGGGATCAGTTGCGTTACTGTCAGCAGATTTTCAGTATGCATTCTCAATCTTTCTCCATGCTAGAAATGGTATATCATGAGTTCAGATCACAGGGAAAATCGGCGTGTAGCCAGGGTAATCTTTAAGGGAAACAACCACCTGCAATGAATACACAATACTATTTAGAAAGTACTAAAAAGTACTTGAATCTGTTCTTTACTAAGAAAGTGTAATCCCAATTATAACATATGTTACAACCATCAGTAAATTTCATGTAAATTAAAATAATTATATAATTACCTTTTCATACAAACTTTTAAACATATCTTCTAGTATCTGCATATATTAATTGTCAATAGAGTGATTTACTAAGATGTTTGGTGTATTTCATGAAAATATTTCAGCCTGTACGACTGCCGTAAATCTATATATTTTTTGTCTTGGCCTGGTTGAAAGATAGCAAGTGGCCTTAGTTCTGTCACCAAGGATAGTTGTGTCTACTTCAGGTATGCTAAACTGAGTCTGTTTTTCTTCAGGTGGTGGCACTGGCTATCAAACAAGTCAAGGAAAGGACTTACTGCCCAAGATCACTATTGTTTCAGGAGAACTAGCAAAACAAAAGGTAAGATGTTAGAAAGCTGATTTACAAGTTGGATCATTAATGATATCACTATTAAGAAATCTTTGCCTAGCTCCCAGTTGGTGATAGTTCTTGTTCTCAATTATATCAGACAAAAATGTAAGATTAGTCCAAGGTTAAGGTCACTGTTTAGGTTATTGCAAACATTTGTATCCTTGTCAGTTTCTAAGGCATGCATTTGGACATTTACATGTTTCTTAACTAAACTTACTACAGTGGAAGCTGTCTAAACCAGCACTGGTTGGGACTGAATAAATAATCCGGTTTTGACAGTGTGCTGGAATGTAGAGCTGACATGGTTACCTACGACTAGAACTAAACCAGTTTTATCACTCTCATATACATTGTTGTATAAGGTGGCTCTCTCAATTTCTCTCTCAACGCACTAATTACATGTACAAGTACACCCATACTGAACTAAGATTAGATTATCTTTGTCAGCAACCATGTAGTTTCAACACAGGATTACTGACTCCTTGCTTGCGGATTAGACAACGCTGATTACTGTATAAACACATATTTGGGCAGCTCATTTCATGCCGAGATCCGGAAATGACAGCTGCCGGGGTTGCAGAGCTTTTAAATGATGATAAATGTACTAGCCATGGGCGGGACTGAGATTTTATGCCGACGTTGACAACTTGCCGCATTGGACAGATGCCGGTTTTGACAACTTCCACTGTATACCAAATATCAGTATCATTTTCATTGGAGGTGAATATTTGTAAAATTTACTAGTATTTCATATTCTCTTCAATTGACATTAGGGAATATGCTACAATGAACTAATTTTGGTACAAAGCTCTTTTCGTGTAACATATTCTATAAAGTACCGTATATTACAGCAGATAAATATATATGTATACAATTCATTTTCTGTCAACTATACTTCATTTCGAGGCGTGAGTAGATGCATTGTCATTGTGGTTGCTGTGAATAATGCAGACCGAAGTTATAATTATCGGTAAATACCAGTTGTCTTGTGGTCTGCTGCGATTAGGACCCCATTGCATTGGATGGGCTTATGTAAGAAACATACCATTTTGATACTGATTTAAGGGTCAATTTAGGGGATCTGCTTATCTATGAGATTGGCTTATCTACAGTAATATATGGTATTCATTTTTCATAAAGTTTAGTGTAAGTATTATTGCAGGCATTTATAAAGCAGGGTTATGTCATTGGCAGCTTCTGACAGATGGATACTTGTATAGACAGGAGTAAAATAAATGTTTGCATGTATTTGTGCACATCTGAACTTATGAGTCTTGGTTTAGTGCATATCTATCAAAGGTCAAGGTCATCATTGAAGATATTGCAAAATATTGTTGCACTTTAACTTGTACCATCCAGAGCCTCAGGTAATTGTTGGATCTTACGTAGTTGTCATACTTGACCATGCTCTTGAAGTACATATTATGATTTGGAAACACCTTTTGAAAGAGAAAAAGTCATCTGTGAATCATATACACAATAAATCATAATTAACCACATATGTTGTACAGGGAAACCTTTACGAAAAGTTTTGAGTTCATGAACTACACAGTTTTTCTGAAAAAAAATGAAATACATGTACACAATGTTTAAGTTTAATTTTGAATGTTATTGGAGTCACCTTATGTAGAACATTGAAAGATTTGGCAATTATTTTATGAAATTTGTTTCTGTTTCAACCGAATTCAGAAACTTATCATATAGTAATTATTTTGCAGGTGGATGTAATTGTGAATTCAACCAATACAGGTCTCACACTCAGTATGGGTTCAGTTTCCAAATCAATACTTCTGGCTGGTGGAGAATTGCTTCAAAGTGAATGCAGAGACTATCTTAAACATAATTCTTTGAAATCTGGTGGATTTGTTGTCACTCATGGAGGGAAACTGAAGTGCAGTCATGTTTATCATGCCTGCTTGCCCATCTTCTCAAAAGAAGCACCTGCGGTCAGTAATTTTATGCTTTGAATTTATATGTATTAAAATTCATTCTCTGTTGTATTGTCAAGTCATACATGGAATGGGTGTTTTAGTTTTAGTTGGAAATTAGTTCAAAATAGAGTTGGAGTAGTAGTATGGACAACGGGGGGTACAAGATCAATTCTGACAGAAGCCATTGTAAAGCTTTATTTATCAAATAAAGCTTTTGCCAGACCCTTATCTGTTTCCGCTATTGTGCATACCACTTTTTGCTTGCCCCAAAACTTCCTGGTCACTATTACCGCGAGCCAACACTTCCTGGTCAACCTATATCATGTTGATCTCGGCAAAACAATTTAATGTGAATCGCCTATGATTTCTTCGGTTTTCGTAATGGAGGTTTGTTGGGCTTGTTGTATTCCTTGGTTTATGTACTTGTTTTCCTCGTCTTCACTGACGGTGCTTTTACAAGACTTGGTTCGAATCTCTTGTTTCATTTTGTGATATTTTGCGAGATCAGAGAGAACCAAACAAAATTCTTCCTCTGAGATTTTACTGTCCGTGAGTGCGTTGGAAATATGATCGGCTATTGTGTTTAACTTTGCTTCGGCTAGAATTCTAATTTCGTCGTGTTTCAATGCTTTACAGTGCAATTTGCGAGATACAAACTTAAACACCAACCCTGACACTCCAGCTGTTATTTCAATGCCTAGCACAATAGGTGCGGCTACGATGGTGGACAACAACCCGACACCTACCGTGCCTAATCCCATACTGGTTGCCATAAGGGTGGTATCAGCCCCATCCATGATATTGAAAACCCTATGGTATTTCTTACATAATGCTTTCCGTATGTCGCGATCTTGTTCTAGTTGATGTTTAATGTCGCATAACTGTCTCAAACGAAACCCGTCTACAGTTTCCAGTGTTTTTGCTACATCTTCTACATCTGGGTACAGCCCCATCCTGTGTTTGCGTATTATATATACTGTAAGCCATTAAAAACGCAATTTGACATTGATACTTTCTTTACTCACACCAATTTCAACATATATAAACCTAACTGGCAGATATGTTTTAAGTGAACATCTGTGAATAATTTCATCTGAAAATGTCCAGTCAACAACAACATCAGTGACGCAACAACGACATCACACAAAGGAGGGGTCACTTGCAGTCAATATCGTGTGTGTCCACCGTGCGCTGCAAGACATGCTCGCAGTCTTTGGGGCATTGAAAGACACACATTTCTCAGGAACAGCTGTTGGATGGTCTGTAGCCGCTGATGGTCTGTGGTCTGATCATGACACCCCCCCCTCCAAAACGATCATGTTCAAGGACACAGTTTGGCGCAAGTCTTTCTCCTTTACGTTGATAAATCTGTGGACGTCCATCTGCAAAGGATAAGTTAAACCTGGATTCATCTGACAAAATGACATCTGGCCATGTCCTGTTGCCAAGATTGGCCCCATTTGCTGCCCATCGCTGTCTGGCAAGTCTGTGGCGATGCAATACGGTTTGACCACGGTCAGGGTGACGACACCGGATGTTGAAGGCAGCAAGGCGTCCTTGCACCTTTTGGGCGCTGAAATGACGTTGACTTGTCCCAATTGTCCTCCTTGCCTCATCATCAGCTGTTTGGAACCGATTTCGCAAGTGTGAAACTCGGATATTGTGGTTTGTCGTGCTGTTATCACAGGTGGTGCACCAGGTCGCGGACGATCAGCAACACTTCCGGTAGCCCAAAAACGTTGTCTGAGTCGACTTACAGTGGATGGATGCACATTAAAGTGCCTGGCAATCATCACATCTGAAGCACCTTGGCTGACCATACCGATAACCTGATTCCTTTCGTCAAGTGTGGCATTTTCTCAAAGTTATTGAGTTCCACAATTCCTTTGTGCTTTAACAGGGCCTGTGTGCAGGTAATGCATGTGCACAATGTGTTTCATGAATGTTGTTGTGTTTACGAGAAATGTCAAAGGTTCAGTTTTAAGTATCTAAGTTCATGTGAGAGGAATGCTCCGGGACTCGAACCGAAATGGGACGGGATAACAGCCTTTTATCCCTACATCCCCTGTATCGCAGGCAAAAATCTTCAATAGAACTTTTGTGAGTTTCAGAACAACAAATACCAATTGCGTTTTTAATGGCTTACGGTATATTATAAGATAAAATTTAATTGTTTTTTTGTAAATTTCTTATTAATGTATTTGAGACTTATAAGGTTTAGATTATCGTAGAGGAAAATAGGTGAGATTTTAATAGGTAAATCTTGGACTATACGAAACCCATGGAGGGTTTTTGAGGGGGGTGTAACTCTCAGTAAGGGTTCTGATCCCAGTTGTATGACGATACGACCACGTGCGGCTGTTTGCATGGCATCTCAATGTATTGTCAACCCAGGTAAAAGTTGTCGGCCTGAACCCCCCTTCAGAGGGTCTGAGAAAGACTTCTATGAAGAGTGTGGTGCCTGGTTTCATATTTATATAACGCATTAATTCGTAATCGGGTAAGTTGACCTTTAATTTTGAAGACGCGGGTGAAAATAATATGTTTCTCGGGCCAAATGGTGTTTGGAGAACTCTTACATAATCAGCATCCCAAATGAAAGACGTGAGAAGGGCACCGTTGTTCTTAATTTCGGTGACATACCTATTTTTGTCTAAAGAGATGTAAGGTGCGGTGAGGGTTATGTTGATAAATCATTCGGGCTCTCTAAAGTCTGCTAACGACACCCGCTCGTACACGTTGTCTTTCAAGTGTAGGATGTACAAGGTGTTTTCCTCACCATGCAGATCGAATACCTCCGTGTCTCCTAGATCGCCAAGCGTGATGTTGGGATGACGACTGTTCATTGTCTATATAAAATAGTTTCCAATTGTTTTTCTGATAATTTCTCAGATCTGCACTTCAACCCCATGAAATGTATGTTGTCGGATAGGAAAGTTTTGGTGAGTGATATCGTGTCTTTCACGGTCACGGTGACTCCCTGCAGACTGGGGTGGGGAATCGATGTTCACCCTCACGTAAACAGAGCAAACGTTGAATTGTTGTTTGGTCCACTGGAAATCCTTTCACAATTTCGACTGGTGATGATGGTTCACCAGGTAGACTTGGATGATCAGCGTGGAATTCTCCGGTATATTTTCTAGGGTGTTGGTCACGCTGTCGAATTCAGATACTATTTGCAATCCAACGTTTTGCGTCCCAGGTTTGCTCGAGATTATGCGAGTGAGTACATCAAGACGCGACAAGGCTTCGATGACCACGGTGCGTCTCACTGCTGGGACGTAAGCCACGAGCAGGGTTCCGTTGTTCACGACTTTGTTTAGGCAGTGGTCTTTGTTTTCCATGAACACGTAGAGAGAGCCGAGCATGATGTTGAGAAACTAGTCGACTCGAGATTGTGTTAAAATCCATTTGTTGTCGTCAGTGAAAACGAGGGCATACTGCTTGTTTCGAACGACAACCGTGGCTCCATGTCATTTAAGTCGAACAGCTTGCTGCCGACCGCTGGGTATAGCATCCATTCATCCTCGTCGTTGGCGGACTAGGTTGTATCGAGTGTTACTGACAGCTCTTGAGGTATCGAGACAGCGGGGACTTCGACACGTTTGTAAATATTGTTTTTCAGTTGCAAAGCATACAGTTTGCTGTCTATTCCTTTTTCGTCGAATCCGCGAGTGTCCACGAGGTCGAAAACCGATATATTAACGCATTTTTTCAATCGCATTCCGGAACCTTTGGCGCTAGTCATTATCGTATGTGCAGCGTCACGCTGAGGTATCCTATATTCACAGGATTATGTTTTATATCTAAAACAGATACCTTTAATTCTGAAATGGTACCTCGCATTAATTTCTTGTACTGCCGCGATGAAAATGATTCGGTTCTGCCGTTGTTGTACTTTTCCGTTTTCACCGGTACGGCTCTCAGCAGCATGGAAGGGCGTTCACCTTGAATGTTGCCCGTCGTGCTCAACTGATCGAGATGAATGCACAGTTTACGGTATGGGACTAGGTCGGGTAATTTCATGCTGGTCACGGTGGTTTTTGGTGGAATGTCGGTTATTTGGTTGCGGACATTGTTGACGAACAGCCTTTTGTTTTTGACATTGATGTTGGTCCATCGCGGGTAGTAGGTGATGTCGCAGAGTGCGACTTCGAGTTGGCCGGACATGTGATCGATCCCGTGCATCAGTTGAACGGACTCACCGCTCGTTATTCCTGGAAGTGTCACGTACATATTAAAGTATATATACCCATTATATAATAATTTTAAAATGTACAAACCAGGAGTGTTTTACCCTAAAATGGATATTGATTTCACGAACATGAAGACCATGGTCGATGCGGATGGTTGACATTTCAGAGCACAGTTTATCGATGTGTTTAAAGATTACAGGGTTTCGGTGACGAATGTGAAAAGCTTGGTTAAAAAACCCGATGCAGTTCTGGCAGAATCAATTCAATTTTGTCATGTGGTGCACTACGACGGGGTGCGGTGTGACGTTGAGCAACACTCGGCGTGGTCCGCTGAGTCAGTCTGTGTTTATGTTTCACGTGGACTACCAGATCAGGCGTATCCTCAAAGAAATCAGCACTCCGCTTCCACTGGACAAAGCATGGGATGCAGTAAACAATCTGTACGATCGACGGGCATACGAAAGAATTTGCAACGAATTCGAAATGGATCCAAACACGGATTGGCATTTGCCGGGTCCGAACCACAGTTTGGGTATGCTATATGATGGCGTGCGATCCTTGAAAGAAGTCAGTGATGATTTACTGAAACCAGATTTACTACGTCAGGACTTTGCTTTGTCGAGTAATGAATGGCGAGATTATCGTATGAACTTTAAAGGTGGAGTTGCTTTCACCGTCCAGAAAGTGGAGCAGCCCAAAGACTCTGTGGACGATTGGAAAATGTTCATGCTGGATTCGAAAGGGTTCACTTGTGCCGGCACAGAACGCTTGAGCGATGTACGTGTGGGCGCTGCTGGGAGCGCAGACGCAAACGCGGTC